AACTCAAGTAAAATAAAGTCAAAGCAAATTTATGAATTTAATTTTTATTTGTTCAATCGTAACGCTAATCGTTTGGCCTCAAGCAGCTGCCAAGCAAATATTCATTAAATCTTCGTTCGACAACCGGTCGAGAATCGGTTCGCACAACTCAACGGGCAGCCAATAGCATATCAACTCCAAGAAAGAATCCAGCGCCCAGTGCCGGAAAAATTCTCTCGATGCCAAATGGCTCAGGTGCGTGAGAGCAGTCCGGTGCTGCTTGGAACCTACAAGATAATAACACTTGTCGGTCCTTATAAACTGCGAGTAGTCCTCCAAAGTGACGGGTTTCGCCGATAATCCCTCGGGTCTGAGCCGAGTCAGATCGTACAACGACGTACTCGGGGTCAACATGATATTTTTCGCCTTGTCAGCGAACTCCTCGTCATCGTACGCCCACTCTTCGAACAGTCCGTTCTCGGCGAACATCTTCATGTACTTCAGAGCGTCGCTACGATCCATCCGGTATCCTGCCGTCTCGAGACTCTCGATGACATGCAGAGCGTTAATCACAATCGGCAATATATTGCCGCGAAGAGGATAAAACCACACTTTGTGCGGTGTCGCGTTGAAATAATCCTCGGTGGGAAATTGGAAGTTGGACAGATTGGCACCGCGAGCCAAGAGCTGATCCACCTTGTACGGTAGAGTATTGGCCACGGCCCATTGTAGCGGCGTACGGCCTCGATTGTCCTTGGCATCGATCAACACCGGCTTCGATATGTCGTCGCAGCGCTCGAAGAAATCATCCACGAGCTTGTTGAACATGTCTCGCATGCAGAACAAGTGCAGTGGGGTCGAGCCGTCGGCGTTGGCCGCGTTTGGATCAGCCCCCCGTCTCAGCAGCGATCGCGTCGCGTTCTCACCGACGCGGGCTAGCCTGCCCGTGGACACATGTAGCGGCGTTTGACCCGACCTGTCCCGCGCGTCGACCCTCACCAGCTGATTCAACTCGTCGTTCAGCTTGAAGAATAATTCGACTGTCTCATCGCCACTGCAGCTATGGTGAGCAATCAAATGCAAAGCCGTCGATCCTTCGTCGTCGGCTTCGTTCGGATCGGCTCCCTCTCTCAGCAGCACTCGGATAGCGTGTTCATCCTGATATGTCTGGGTCATTGCGTGGAGAATCGGTGTACGGCCTTTTTTGTCCCGTGGGTCGAGCTTCAATTTTCGACCGGTGTCATTGTTGAGTTTGAAAAACAACTTTGAAAACTTGTCTGAACAATCACTGCAAAGCAAGTGCAGTGGCGTCAATCCCTCGGCGTTGGCTAGATTAGGGTCGGCGCCGCGTCTCCAGAGCAATCCGACCACCGAATACTTTAGATTATTCATGGCCAAATGTAGCGGCGAGTCGCCGGTTTTTTCCACGAGAAAGTTCGGATCTTGACCTTGGTCGAGGAAACTCTCGATCACGCGATTAAAGCCGAATATACAGGCCACGTGAAAGTGAGACAATCCGTCCTCGTCGACGTAGTTCACATCTAAGTCGTAAATTTTGAAGAGATTGTGGATGACGTGATCAGATGGACGCGTAGAGATAGCCGTAGTCGCGCGATGCAACGCTGTGGTGCGACGTAGCAGGGGCTTGCCGTCTTCGTCGAGTTCGGGCTCGTTTTTGTAGCCGGTCCTGATCACGAAATCGACGAAACGTTCCTGTTCAGGCTCGTTCCAATCGTGACTCGAGTGACTTATGCATTCCAAAAGAAGCAGCTCGATCTCTGCGGCTCGAAAGATGTCCCGCAGGTTAGGAAGGTTGTACCTCCAATCTTCGATAAATTGATCGAATTCCTCCAAAAAATGTTGTCGGTCTTCTTCGTTCTCCCAATTGACTTTTTCGCGCATTTTACAAATATCATTTCGTCGGTCTTCTTTGCTCTCCCAATTGACTTTTTCGCGCATTTCAAAAATATCATTTCGTCGGTCTTCTTTGCTCTCCCTCTCTTTTTTGACTTTTTCGATCATTTTTTGCAACGTTTTAGAAATGTAAACGTCCGGGCTCGACATTTTTTAGCTTATTTGCGCGCGCGCGCACACACACACACACACACACACACACAAACTTTTTTTCACTGTTTGATGTCACGATAATGAACACTGTAAGTATGTAATTTTTTTACTGTTTATCGTAATGCGTACCGACCATAAGGTGGCAGCGTCAATTGTAACTTGGCCGATTTAGATTGAGTTTAGGATAAAAATGTCAAAGATAGCTGGTATAGGTTCGAGGCAGATGCGAGCTATGTGCACACTGCGCGTTATTTTGATCGCGCGTTTCAACGGCCACGTTTAAGTAGCTACTTTCTAATCTTCTTCCACTAGAGAATCTATATACAGAGCGTAGACGAGTGTGCGGCGAAGCTATGAGTCTCCGCAGTCGCTACCAGTGTAGCACGACTCATAATATCTTACACATGTAATGATGATAATGCAGGCGTCGATGTTACCACTCGCCGTGTTTGATATTTGAAAACTGCTTCAGTCTCGTTGGTGGCCAGTTTTTTTATTTGGTTTTACGTTAATCTGGAAAGTTTTTTACTTACGGAAAAATAACGATTTAAAAAAAACGTATGAAGTATTTTGGCCTTAATACTAATAATAGTGATGAATCGAACTGAATGTGAATATAATATATAACGTTAAATAACGTTTAATTTATTCTTTTACTTAAAGCAATTATTTTTCAAATTAAAAGATAAATTACGATCGATATTATACACTTCCTCTGAACATATAAAGCTTTCTCACATGCAAATATATAACGGCAATGAAAAAAATAATGATATTCTTTGAAGACTGCGGTTTAAAAGTGCAAAATCTTGATACATATTTATTAACTTCTACGTATTATGTATATCTATACATAATAGATAACATAAGATGCATCGGCACTAAATCAGGCTTTTATGCAATTATGTTCACTTGCGAATTTGTAGATAAAAGTAATCGCCATCTAGCGGTATTAAAAGTCACATTCATTTTAATAAAAATCTTTAGATTTCAGCATCGAATTAGATTCTTTCGGTTTATTTTTGCATCACAGATAAGGTAAACCACCCAATACTGGGACACTTATCCGGACAAACTTTTATTCTACTAATTTATCTTTCAAAAAAACGGCCGAAGTGCAAACTAAATTGATTCTCGCGATGGCGGAGGATTTCCAGAATGTAATATATTAGTTGAAAAAATTCTAGATTGTAAAATTATTAAAAAATAAGACATTTTCTTGAGTAGCAAAAATCACCTATAGTAGGACACCTCGAACAGCGCCACTGTATAGTGGGACACGCGTCAGACCAAAAGTGGGACATATTAATATGGGTAGGTTTACGATCTCAAGCAATGGATATTAATTTGATTTAAATGATAGGTAATATATAATAAAAAGTCAATAGATTTATAATTTAAAGAATAAATATGTTTTTTATTGTTATTAATCTGATTCCGAAATTTCAACAAAAATTATGTTAATAAATACAAACTGATAATAAATCATTTTAAATAACATTAAATTCATAAAACAATTAATTATTAAATATATATCACTAAGTTTGAACACCTATTTCACTCAATTAATTGAAAACAGAATGTAAACATACCTTCAGTGGCTGGTACTTTTCGAGGTTAGGATACTCGATCACCAAAGAGTCTGAATCGGCTAATATTTGCCCTGCTTTTAATTGAATAATATAATAAGTATAATTGTCTAAAAAGACACACTTTTTTTATAATAGTTACGAATATACACTTACTTCTAATGGATGCAGATATTATAGGCTACCCAAAGCGACAAAGCGAACTGCACCGCGGGGCGTATAGCAAATATGTGACTTAATGTGTCCTACTATAGGACGTATTGCGAAATAACTGCACGTAAATCAGGACATGTTATTATAAAAAAAATATACTATTATTTGTAAAAATAACAGTACAGTCGTGTTCCGGGAAGTCAAAATATTGAATATAAAACTTAACATTACCTACTTTATATTTGACTTTTATCTTTAATTTACAAAAATTGTGTGGGTACTTTTCCACTCAGAAGTACGATTTCGCACCGAAATTTCTTCCCATCAACTTCGTCGTTACTCATTGAATTTTCATATTTTTTGAGTAAGTGCAAATAAAAAAAGCGTTTGAGATATGCATATTAGAGATTCAAATGAATGATAATTCATATGATTTATCGTTGTTTTTATAAATTTTTATTGAAAAAACTACTGAAAATCGCAGGTGTCCCACTATACGACGGATTTTTGCATTGTCCCAGTATTGGGTGGTTTACCTTAATCATTGATAAATTAATTGTTAACGAAGATTTTATGCAAAAGTATCATCAATAAAATGCAAAATCTATTGATTCAATTTTGAATGTATGCTTTTTCATTAAAATACGCATAAAAATTCAATGTTTTATTTCAATGGCGTAGCATTGACGTTGGAAAAATAAACTTGCTACAAATATCGCTGCAACGATTATCTATTTCCAATGCGCTCCTCTCGCGTCACGATTCTCCGGCTTTTTTCACTCTGTTTCTCTCACTGAATTAACATTTTTTAAAAATGAGAAGCGAGCTCGTGGACTTTGATTTTATCTATATGCGTTATATAGCTACCCTCCGCGTGCATTTTATTACGCAAGTTGTAAATTCGGCTGCGCGTATACCACTATGTACGGCTGCTGCGCCGCGGTAATTAACCTGTGAATTTCGTTATACGCCGCGATTTACAACCAACCGTTGTACACATATAACTTTTGACGTTTACCCGCCAGCGAAATGCGCGTCGTATACTCTTATTGTTTCGCTCGCTGCGGACAGGTCCATTTTAGAACGATATAAATTCGCTTGTCACTAATTTTTTAATCACGAAACACACACACATACACAGCAGACAGACAGATTTAATGTAAATTTGTATTAAATTCATTTGTATTTTAATTTTACTTCTTATCGTTACAGAGCACAGAAACGCGGTGCCGCCCCGCTTCAACGAGCGCCTCATCCCGGCGCCCGTTAAGACCGGCGAGACCATCGTCCTGAGCTGCATCTCCCAGGGCATACCGCCGCCCACCTATCTGTGGTTCCGCGAGAGCGGCTCGAGCCTGATGGGCCCCGAGATGATGGTGAACTCGGAGCGGGTTCATGCCCGCGCGGGGGTGCTGGTGGTGCAGCAGGCCCGGCCCGACGACGCCGGCAGGTACGTCTGCCACGCCAACAACACGGCGGGCTCGGAGCGCGTCGAGCTCGAGGTCTTCGTCATCAGCGGCCTCAGCATCAGGATAGCTCCCCAGCAGGTGAGGATCGATATTAGTTGATATTGCATTTTTATGTGTCTATCGCGAGTCGGTCACGCGTCGAAGAAAAAAGAGGAGTCGTCGGTGTGCTCGATATTGAAAAACGGATCGCCCTCGTCGCGCGTATAATGACGACGAAGTGGAGCTTTTTTCTTTCCCCCTTTTTTTTTTTACATAGAGTCGAGGGGCCATGTTCGGTCGCGTCGTGAACGATAATGAACGAGCAGCTCGAGCTAGAAAACAAACAGCCCAAAAAAAAGGGCAGCCAATATCGAGTTGGCTACTTCAGACACTCGTGTCCTGTCCACCTTTATACACGTATACTCCTGCAGTAGTACGAGTGCGCGCCGTGGCAGCCCTCATCCAGGCGGAGATATAGGGCCGGGGCAACCACAGTACGCGGAAACGAGTCCGAGAGTTTAGAATCTCTCTCTTGAGCTATTTCGGTAGCACTAAATACGTAGGCGCATAAACAGTATAGAATGCATTGTACGTTTTAGCCATGCAAAAGCCTCCGCGTATATATATAGCCGAGGGACTGACCGGGAATTAATCGGATCGGAATATATATCGAGGTATGGTTCAATCAGAGCAAGGCATAACGTACAATAACGTATACGCGATTCGTACGTATATACGTGTGCGGTATATTGGATAGTCGTCCGCCTCGCTCATTCCGCGAAATGCCAATTACGATTTCTGCCGCGCTGCGCAATGACAATGTGCCAGCCTGCCTGCCCTATATATAGCATTTACACACCGACGCGCCGATCGCTGCTGCGGGCAAGAGATATATATACATCACCTCGATCATGAAATTATTGTTTCACAGGTGACGATCGACCTGAACAAGGACGCCGAGTTCCAGTGCCTGGTGCAGGGCCAGCCCGTGCCCACGGTGACCTGGGCCAAGGACGCCCTGCCGATACGCGAGGGCAGCTCCGGCCGCACCAAGATCAGCGGCCCGGGCGGCACGATCCTGCACGTCTCGGCCATCACCCGCGACGACAAGGGCATGTACCAGTGCTTCGCCAAGAACGACTACGAGATGGTCCAGGCGACGGCCGAGTTGAGGCTGGGAGGTGAGTTTATATACACGTATATATATAGTGCTCGATCGACCCACTTGCTGCGGGCTATAGCCGAGCTTCGATTATGCATTCGGCATACAGCGATACACGGAGGGCCATTATGCACTTACACCCATTGTCTGTCTGCGCGTGTATATTTTGAAATACGATTATCGCATTTCGCGAGATGCGATGAATAGCAATGCGCGTTTAAATGCGTTACCGGCCTGAGAGTTTAAGGATCCCGATGAAAACATTGGAGGATTTACGAGAGCTGTATTATATGCGTTTCAGCAAAATTCGAAATTTAAACGATCCCGATCGATCGACGTAAGCTTCGAGTCAAGTATACAACACCGCGAAAATCAGCCGCGGCTAATCACTGGGGAGCTGTGCGAAAATTTTAAAGCTCATACACCAATCTCTACCTGCGTATATAGAGGGGTTGAATGACGTCCGCTCGTGCGGGCGTGGTCGACCTGATTCGGCGAATAGTGCGTACACACATATGCATATGCATGGAGGAGGAGGAGGAGATAGGGGGGCCAAGCTCGGGGCGCTTCGATTCGTGTGTGTGCGGTCTATTGTTGGCCGTGTAATTTGGCGGGTTAATTCGTCTACTATATATACTATTACGTGCGCTGCTGCCCCTGGAGGATCTCTTCTCCGTACCGAACGCGTACACGCGCGCGCGTCCGGCAAGAAACCTCACCGCAAATCGATCGATATATATATATTACCGATTCACGCCGACAGTCGTGCTCATACGAATGCGAATTTTTAATTTGACATATTCGTGTGTTTGTATTATCGATTGGGGCGAGGATGTAAATAAAGTCGTTTTGACACACTGGCTTTTCTGATTACAATTAAAAGTATTTATTATTAAAAGTACATCGTTAATCATTACTAACAAACTCATAACAATCAACGATCACGTATGCAAAATATTTTTAAAATAGTATATTTTTCACTCTCTAGGTGCAAATACAATTTTTTGTGAAGCCTAAAGTAACATTTTAGTTTTGCTCAGTGGGAGTAAAATGTTACTTTAGGCTGGGGTGGCACAAAAAAGCACTTTTATTATTATTAAAAGTATATCGTTAATCATTGCTAACAAACTCACAACAATCAACGATCACGTATGCAAAATATTTTTAAAAAAGCACTTTTATCATTATTAAAATTATATCGTTAATCATTGCTAACAAACTCGCGACAATCAACGATCACGTATGCAAAATGACTTTAAAAAAGTACTTTTTCACTCATCGATAAATCTAAACATTTTTAATTAACCACTATCCACGGTACGACGCGCGTATTTTTTTTATAAAAAATTACATCGTCGTCCACCGTTCTGAATATTGCGCGACATTTTCTCCTCCTACAATTCCATCGGCTGTGGCTGTTGCTGCTGTTCCGTCTGGTTGTCGTCTTGGCCGTCGTTCACATTCAAATTCTCCAGGTCTGCGTTGAGCGCCTCGTTGACCTGGCGCACGGCGGCCAACTTGGCGAGATTCGGCGGGCCGTAATCTCCGTTGGCCTCGGCCACCTTGCGCACGTGCATGAGAAACTGGACCCTGGCGTTGAAGCTCGACGGCTCCAAGTTCTTGAATTTCGTGCCGTATTTAGGGTCGGCGTAAGGTCCCACTATCTTCTCCTTTCTCCTGGACGTTTGCGGATCGAACCTGATCCTCCTCTTCCTCATCTCGGCGTAAACCTGTTTGAACGTGTGCGCGAAATTTCCACACCTGGGGTTCTTCTCGTCGTAGACGAACGGCTTGAGATCCATCGGATTGAACGGCAGCATGAGCTCGGTGGGCTGCCTCCTGCGGCAATTGTGAAACTCCAGCCACATGCCGTAGCCGACCTTGTAGATCCTCGTCTCGGTCTCGATCTCGAAGCGGTGCTCGATCTTCTTGAAACGGTGCTCGGGCATGCCCTCGACGTGCATCTGCTCCAGGGCGCACACGTTGCTGGTCCAGCGGAACGGCCTCAGCTCCTTGGCCATCTCGTAGCCGAGATAGAGGGCGAGGGCCGGCCAGCCGATGTTGGCCTTGCGCTGCATGTGCATAGCCGCGCGAGCGGCCACCACCTCCACCACGTAGTCCTGATCGCCCAGCAGGATCTCGCGGTCCACGTCGAAGCTGAACTTGACGCGGATGGTCACCTCGCCGCACTCGTCCTGGACGTCCGATGGTAATGCCGCTGCCATGATGATACGACTTTCTGTTGTATTATTAACGTAAACGTACACGCGAGAGCACACACGCACGCGCACGAACCAACTATAACTGTAACGGTCTGTGTATCAAAACAACGACGCGTGGCTATACTTTTCTCTCCGTGTATTTGTATATTACGCAGCGGTGTCGAATCGACGACGATCAATTCTGTACTGAGCATACCTACATGTAATGTTGTGTACGCGCGCTACGCAGCTGTGTCGGTACTTACTTCTCACGAGACGCGGCTGGAGAAGGGGATTTCTATATAAATGCGTAGAGTCATCGGAAAGAGATATTATATATCATACGTTAAAAAGTCAAACTTTCTAACAGAAATTTCGATATACATAACGACGAAAATAGACACGTCTTTTGTATACGAGATTGAGGCGACCTCACACTAAAACCTTCAAACTAAAAGAATGTTTAGTTTTTTCGAAGGTTTATTTATGATGGAAGAAAAAATCATATGTCGATGAAACTTTTTATGCGTTATTAAGCGGCCTTCAACTGTATGAAATCTTGTTTTTTGAGTTTTTTAGCTATCTCGCGTCGTCTGCTACAACTGGCCTTTCTCGAAACAATTGTTTTACAGTAATACAACAATGATTATGAACAAAAACGTTATCGTTTAACGTTCTGAAATTTTAACACACAATATATATGCACCAATTGAACTAGAATGGAATATGCCGACACAATATTTCTGGTGAACCGTTTTGGAAAAAAAAATTTTGATTCTCGAAAAAAAATGATGTCATTTCGTTATTTTTTAAGCAATGTTTTTAGTTAGTCTATTTCATTTTGAGCAGTAACGTGAGCAAATTACGTCACGTTATGGTATTTAATTGTAAATAATGATAAAATTACGATAAAATTACGGGATTCAGAGTAAATGAATTCCGACGGTCGTCTTGTCCCGGCTCTTTTTCGGTACATTTCTAGCAGACAACACTGACCAGCGTGAAAATAAAAGTGTGGTAAAATAATGGCAAAAAGCATGGCAAAATTATCGATTTAACTGGTTTACTATAGTTTTTCCATAATTGAAAAATCACTTTTTAACAAAAATCATTGGAAAACTATAGTAAACGAGCTAAATCGATAATTTTACCATACTTTTTTTCCTTAATTTTACCAGTTTCATTTACACATGGCGAATCTGATATATAAAAATTTTTCATTCAAATAGTAACCGGCCATTTAAATATACACAAAAAGTTTCATTGAGATTATGTCTTTTGATTCTTTTGAATTTAACCTCTCGAAAAAAAGAAACATTTCTTTGTAGTTTGAAGATGTAAAATCCGTTAATCCCTATAAGCCACGTATATTTGTTGCGATTATGCACCTGCGGAATATACCGACGGTGCCTACAAAGAAAATCTCCTTTTCAAAAAAGCAGCATTATAGTTTTTGATGTATATAAGCATTGCCCGCTCTTTACGATCTAGCCTTTACAAATTTTTGGAAAAGTTTGAAAAAAAAAGAGAATTTCGTCGCTACATAAATTTGTCTCTGCATTTAAAAAAAAGAGGCCGGTCTTGGTAAATATCATCGAATACGATGTATTTACATTATTGCCTTACTTTCCATGGTCGCTGCCGCACGCAGACGCATCGCCGCAGCTGGTCTACAAGTTCATCGAGCAGACGATACAGCCGGGACCATCGGTGTCCCTCAAGTGCATCACCACGGGCAATCCGACGCCCCACTTCACCTGGACACTCGATGGCTTTCCACTGCCGCAGAACGACAGGTATACATGTCCTCTATATGCAATTTATGTACGTACACAGCTCGTACTCTCTATGCAATTTTTACGTTTATTCGGTGCGAAAATTGTATGTGTAAAGGGTAATACGAGCGTTAACAGCTTTTTTTTCAATTACCTCACAAATATTTATCCTCTCTCTCTCTCCGCTCAGATTCATGATCGGCCAGTACGTGACCGTACACGGCGACGTCATATCCCACGTGAACATCAGCTCGGTGCGGGTCGAGGACGGCGGCGAGTATCGCTGTCAGGCCGTGAATCGCGTCGCCAAGATCCATCACGGCGCACGGCTCAACATCTACGGGCCGCCGCACATCAGGCCGATGGGCAATTACGCGGCGGTGGCGGGCGAGACGACCGTCATCAAGTGTCCCGTGGCGGGCTTCCCGATCTCGAGCATCACCTGGGAGAAGGACGGCCAGGTGCTGCCCACCAGTCGCAGACAGGAGGTGTCGCAGAACGGCACCCTGATACTGCACCAGGTCGACAGCAACACCGACCGGGGCGCCTACACGTGCACGGCGCGAAATCAGCAGGGCAGATTCGACTCGCAGACGGTGCACATCGAGGTCAAAGGTGAATGTTATTAATTTTTGTGTTGTTGTGGCAATTTTGGAATAAATACCAGGCTGGTAGAAATGCTCAATATTGATGATGGCTTGATGAATAAAAAATAATAACCATTTTAACTATTTTAAAATATATTGACATAGATTGTCTTGAAACTGAAAATGACTAAGGTATACGCCCTTATTTTCGATCACTTAGGTCCTAATTTCGATCAAATTTAAATAAATTTTTTATATATAGGATTGAAACTTGATATCTGATTATGAATAACGTATTTCTGTTGAAGATGTTCGATTCATTCAGCCAATTATTAAAAAAAATTTTCTTACGTACAATTAAGTTGTTAATATTAATTATTGATCGAATTTATAGGGACATGATCGAAAATAGGGGCATATACTTTTTAAATGAATGACTATAAATTACTAATTGTTCCGCAAAATTTAGACCAGTTTTCAATTACTTTGAATGTGGTAATAATAACATGCTTTAAAGCTCGGCCACTAGATGGCGATGTAGCTTTATCGGTACATCCACAAGTGGCAAAGTCAGAATAATTATATAAGTAGTTGTTGAAAAACAAAAAAAAGGTTAACCATTCCAGTGATTAAATCTGACCGTTCTTTCATGTCAGAGAAACTTTTTCATTGGCCGAACATTAATCTTGAAATTTTGAGCATTTCTACGAGAGCGGATACGTTCTTAATTCTAAATAAGATATATTATATATGTCATATTTTGGAGATAAACTGGAATATATTATTTTTGAAAGGTACATATTTACAGAATCATGTTTCCAATTGGACCAGACAAGCTGCATCACGATTGACAATGAACTGTAATAAGAGAAGATACATGAACGATCATAATCGTTAATAATATTTTCAACTTTTCAGCGCTATACTTTTTCCTGCCAAAGCTCGTTTCTTTCGTGCTAGTACATAGAACTCATCGATTTTCTCATTCGATATTGAAAAAGGCCTTTCCAAAATATTCCATCGAAGCTCAACGCAAAATCGATGATATTTCTCTCTCTCTCCCCCAAGCACGAAAGAAACGGGAAGAATTCGATATAAGCAGCTGCCGATCCCACGACACCCACCCCCCTCCTTTGCAGCAAAAATACCACTAGCCCCTGATGTTCGCAGTACCGCCACGCATCGATCCGTTCACCTTCCCGGAGAACACGCAGGCGGGCGCCCGGGTGCACGTCACCTGCGTCGTCAGCCAGGGCGATCCGCCCGTGCGCATCGTCTGGCTCAAGGACGGCCGTCCGCTGCAGACGTATCGCGAGCTCGACACCACCACGACGACCAGTCAGCTCGGCGAGTTCGATCTGGCGCTGAGGATCAGCAGCGCGTCGCCGGCCCACAACGGCAACTACACCTGCCTGGCCAGCAACGACGCTGCCAAGGCATCGCGCACCGCCACTCTGCTCGTTCACGGTATGCGACCGCGGCGTACCCCACTGACGGGATTAGAGCTAGTTTCCCCCGATTTATTTCGAGTATAATCGTTGATTAATCTGTGCTGGCAGCGCTATTGTAACAGAAAAAAAATGGAAAATTTTTACGACTGAGCTCTAACGTAAAATTCACCCGATCCTTGATCCCGACTCGCACTCATCAAAACCTTGACATTGATACATTTTCAGACAATTTTACCGACACTTTTTGTATCAATATTTGATTGACATACAAACCATAAATAAATGAAATATACAAAACACAAATACATGAAATATTAATGAGTTTACCATTACATTTACACAGTACAATCAATAAGCGGCAGATACTTGTTTAAACAGGTAGTATGATCATTATAATATTGACAAATTTAAAAGAAAGGCAGCGTATAAAATAACAATATTGTTATATAATAAGTATACATAAGAAAATTGAAAAAAACATAGCAGCAGCAGCAGCAGTGGCAGAATCATCACGACGAAGCTGAAACGAAGCCCGAAAAATAAAAAGCATCGCAAGCTCGCTACGCACAAAAAAACTCATTCGACTCCTTCCGTTTCTGTTTCATTGTGTTCCGGCGCTGCTATCTCCGCTCCTCGAAACACACTCATACACAAACAATAAACACACACAAACGAACGAACGAATGAGCAGTACCACCGAGGATCGCCCCGTTTAGCTTCAACAAAGACCTGTCGGAGGGCGTGCGCGCCCAGGTGACCTGCATGATCGAGCGCGGCGATCCGCCCTTCACGATCGCCTGGTCCAAGGACGGCGAGCCCATACAGCCTCAGGCTGGCGGCGGCTCGTCGCCTTACGCTCGATTCGGTAGCTCTCAACAGCAGCAACTACAGCCACAACCAGCTGGCCTGAGGGTGACGAGCTTCGACGCGCACTCGAGCACCGTCGTGATCGAGAGGGTCCAGGCCAATCACACGGGCAATTACACCTGCCTGGCCAAGAACTCCGTGGCCGAGGTCTCGCACACGGCCGAGCTCGTTGTTCGCGGTACGGACCACCCCATTCGAGGAAAATCGAACAAAAACAAAATAAATAAGAGCACTACTACTTCTTTTTTTTTCGCCACTCACTTGCCTATTATTATATATATGCAGCAGCGCAATTATCACCATAGAGATATATATCTTACAATATTTGCCAAGCACTTGTTTTCCAGCGCACTCTACTCTACCACTTGACTCGTTCTCTCTCTCTGGGTCATTGGCACTTTTATTTTTTACGCTGAATTGGTGCGCACGATTTTTTGTCAGGCTCTCTTCCTTTCTCTCTGTATACTTGTACTCGCTCGCTCTCTGCGTAAAGATAAAGTAAAAATGAAACAAACAAAAAAAAGTAGAGTCGCTTCCGCAGCGCAGAAAATCCCGAGCGAAGCTCGACTTTTGCCAATGCGCGCAAATACACAAAATTCATATACCACTATACACACAAGGGCAAAAAACGCACACGCAGGCACATGCATAAACTGCATCATCGTCTACACTCTACTTAATTCGAATCACGTACGCGCGTGTTACGCAAAAGTCGAGTTTCGCTCTTGATTTTCGTGTATTACGCCAGTACGCACAATCGCAGCTTCTTGCGCATTCGAATACCGCTTTATACTGTATAAAAGAGAGTAAAAAACAACAAGAGGGAAGAAAATTCTCGTTTCGGTTGAGTTTACAAAAAAAAAAAGAAACAAAGGATAGATATAGCAAAGAGTAACGAGAGAGAGAGAGAGTGATTACTCGTGCGCAGCGGCACAAAACTGCATCGTCTGCACTTATTAAAGTATATAATATAATACACCACGTCACTCCAGTTTGCTCGCGCGTGTTTCTGTCTTATTATCATAATATATATAGCCGCACAAAATCTGTGTGAGATGTGTGTCTGTGTGTTCGTTTTGTTTTTCACCGCACTGTTATACTAACCACGGCTGCACGAAACGAGCGAAGCGATGCTTTCCACGATGACGACGATGAGTAACATCGTCTACGGCACCCTGAACTAACGCTCTGCACCACCACGTTGCCTATATATAATATTAAATATATATTCTACCACGATATTGTGATGAACTTTGTACGATAATGATAATGATGATATATAATATTATTATGCGTCGTTGTAAGTAAACGATGAATTATGTATTTAAAGCACGATGTTGTTACACACCGAGTGCCTCACTTACTTAATGCACGATAAGATAATAATATGTAAGCACAACACACGGGGTGTATTTACCTCCTCTCGTACTATTATTATTATAATTCTATGAAGCTTTTTCTGTTTGCGTTAAAACAATCATCGATCGGTCGTTTTCAATTTGAACCTATGAAAAAGAAAAGGAGAAATTGAATGGATCCCGTGGCGCGAGAGGAGGAATACAACCCCGGTGATAGAAAATATGCACAACACTTTCTCACCAGCACATGCATTAAAAAAAAAAGAACACTTGTTATATCACAAAAAAATGTCCTTTTTTCACCTCTATATAATCACGCTGTTTTCTCACCATCAATAAGAGCACAGTATATATTTATATTTATTATTATTTTTTTTTTTCATACGATCACGGTGAGCTATTTAATCTATTGAATAGAGTAATGATAATAATAATGAAGCCTGCACAGTACTGAATGTCACTGTAATACGTAACATTCTACTCTTTTTTTTACGTTTTACTGCACCAATATTAATATCGAAGTCTGAGTGCGTCTGCGAGTGTGTATGCGTGTGTGCGTGTGTGTACGCTTAAGCGCGTGTAAATGAGTTATTTTAATTTGCTTTACCCGTCCTTTGGGCTATAGCTGCCTCTGCGCGTCATTATCGATCACTAAATATTTGCTTTTCGTATAGTAATAATAATAATATACAAACGGGCGCAATAGCCTCCCGTTATGCAGTGGCAGCAGCAGTAGCCATGGCGTACTGTTCACTCTCTCGAGCTGCGATAACGATGTTTGCTTTCGAGCTGCAGCAGCAGCAGAAAAAAAATCAACCGAACTATATACCGTGTTTACCGATGAATTATAGTCGGGCCCCGCCTCTCTGCTTCCACTGCGTAACGTAACTTGCATTGAGAAAACTGCCGAGAAAAATTGACGTTATATTTTTTTTACCCACCCCCAAAATGCAGTACCTCCGCGCTGGCTGACCGAGCCCCAGGACGTGCACGCGCCCGAGGGCATGTCCCGGCTGAGTCTGCACTGCCACGCGGACGGCTTCCCGCCGCCGAGCGTCACCTGGCGCAAGGCCAGCGGCAACAAGCCCGGCGATTACAAGGACATCGCCGTACAGCACGAGCAGCAGCACTCGATGTCGACGACGAGTCACGACCCGAAGATTCATTCGAACGGCTCGCTCGTGTTCGCCCGCGTCCAGGAGAATCACGAGGGTTTCTATCTGTGCGAGGCCGTCAATGGAATCGGAGCTGGACTCAGCAAAGTCGTTTATCTGACCGTTAATGGTACGAATATTGTCGATTTATAGTATAGTCCTGGTATATAAAAATGTTCAACATTTTATAGCTAGTTTATTGTAAAATAAAAAAACTGTAAAAAGTTGCATGAAATTTAATGTATTTTTTACGTAGATTTATCAATATCATTTATTACTTAACTGAAAATTCAGTATATTTTGACGAATACGTTCAAAAACTACTTGGAATTTCAATAAATTCACATAAATTAATTTTAAACGCAAGCTTAGTTCAATTACTTACAAACGTTCAAAATGACAAAATTGGTTCAAGAACTTGTTATCACATTTAAGAAACTTCCTGGAAATAAACGTACAACCCATCAAGAATCCCAAACCGTACTATGACTTATATACTGTTATTTTGACTTCACCGCTTTCGGATTTACAAATAATGTAACTCGCCATCTAGCGGTGGAGTCTGAAAGTGGTGTTATCGTATGAATTTGAATTGAAACTGAATTTTTTTAAACACTTGTAACTTACTCGTGACAGAAAACTCGTCAAAAAACAATCCAATCAATATTTAAAACGCGATGATCTATTTTTCGAGCATCGCGATATACCCTTACTAATCCTATCCATTGCGTGTTTATACAGCGCCGGCGCACTTCGCGGTGAAGCACGAGAACCGCACGGCCAGACTAGGCTCGAACACGTCGCTGCGCTGCGACGCCAAGGGCGATCATCCCCTCAAGATCATCTGGCGCAAGATCGGCTCGCAGCTCGAGCCCGCCATCTCGGACTATCGCTACATGGTCAAGGAGCTGAACAGCACCGACGGCGCGGCCAGTGTGCTGGGCCTGGTCGGGACGACCCGCGACGACAGCGGCCGTTACGTCTGCATCGCCAGCAACGCCTACGGCCGGGACGAGATGACCATACACCTCTACATACAGGGTGAGATACGTTAAAAATTAAAATGAGTGTAATTTGAATAACATTTGAATATATTTATTCGTAAATTATTTAACATTTAGGATTAAAATTCATGTGCTATCAACCCAACTTAAAGAATTTTATTTTAAATTAAAATAATTTTATATAAAAGTAGATTAAGGGGAGTCATACACCAATTCACGTTTTGTGATATAAACCACAGTTTAATGTTAATCTATATTTTCAACATAAAATTGACATCATTGAGTCAAGGTTCAGATCAGAGTAATTCAGGTGGGGATCCCTGATAGATATCAAGATCTTCAGAAAAATATTAGTTGAACGTATTAGTTGAATAGTTCTATTATTCAATATGTGCTGAAAAACATGAATCAATTTTTTTTATTTCTTGCTTTTTTCACATCTGTTGGCATGTAAACATTTTTATAACTCTAATCAAAATTCCACAAAACTCAGCCCATAGAGGATACTTCTGAAGACTTTGATACCTATCAGGGATCCCGACTTAAATAACTCTGATCTGAACCTTGCGCACAGTGCCAAAAGGCTAAAATAGCAAAACTGAGCTATTTTTAGATGCAAATGCCTATTCATTGCAACTTTTTTCACATCTTTTAGGACTCAAAGATGTCAATTTTATGTTGAAAATATAGATTGACATTAAACTGTGGTTTATATCACAAAAATTACAAAGAGGAATGAATTGGAATGTGACTCCCCTTAACATAAGCGTAGAAAAAAGGTCCACTTTTATATAAATTATTTCGTATGCTTCTAAATTTGACAAGTGACACATCAATTAAATGAAATTAGTTAATTTGAATTCATGCAGTTGCTTACTTATACACACTGCTTATATACTTATATACTTATTATTTCGATTTGCCACTTGCAGTTTTACAAATGATGGTATCCGCCATCTAGCGGCAAACGCCAGATTTAATTGTGATTGAATTTTCATGAATATATCGATCAATTTCAATTTACAATTCGATGCAAATTCGAATACAGAATCAAATCTTTTTTCATCGTTTTCCAAAATAATGTATGTGATTGCATTTATATGCATTGTATATCAGTCTGATTTTTCATAAAATCTGTATTGAATTTAAGATTTTTTTTCAAACATTTCTACTTTTGTTTCTTCTTTGTCGGCTATCGACGTCAATGCGAGCTTTTTCTTTTCAATTACAGAGCCTCCGGATTTTCCGAGAAACCTGCGCGTACTGGAGAAAGGCAGTCGCTTCATCAAGCTCGGCTGGTTGACGAGCCAAGACGGCAACAGTCCCATCACCCAGTACATCGTCGAGTACAAAACGGAATCGGGTAAGATGCCTATAATTATAACTATTTAATACATAAGAGTTTCAAATCGATGCTAATATTCATCTGAATTGCAGAGGTTTGGCACGATCACACGTTCCACACGACGGTGCCCGGCGGCCAGTCGCACGCCCACATAAGCGGACTCAGGCCGGCCGTCACGTATCAGTTTAGGATATTCGCCGAGAACGAGCTCGGCAGGAGTCAGCCCAGTGATGTGAGTATATCTTAGTCGCCTATAATTGCCTCAAAATTATTCTTGCCGCATTGATTAAATATATTTTCTAACTGCAGATTTTAGACGCCACGACGGAAGGCGAGACCCCGGGCGGACCGCCGAAGAATTTGAAGGTCGAGCCGAGCAGCTCGACCGAGCTCAAAGTCACGTGGGAGCCGCCCGACGACGATCTGTGGAACGGAGAAATCCTTGGATATCACGTGGGCTACAAGGAACAAAGGTAAATCAATCTTCTTGTTATTATGGACCGAATCGAAATCACAAACTCCGACTTTTTTTGCCCTCATCGACGCAGACACGGCACCGAGTACGTGTACAAGACGGTCGAGGGCCGCATCTCCACGGCGAGCATAGCCCTGGGCCTGGCCAAGACCGCCATCCCGGGCCGCCAGTGCCAGCTGTCGGGCCTGAAAAAGTACGCGCGCTACAGCGTCGTCGTGCAGGCCTACAACGCCCTCGGGCCCGGCCCCATGACGCCCGAGGTCGTCGCCACTACCCTCGAGGACGTCCCCTCGAGTCCGCCTCAGGACGTGCGCTGCACCGCCCTCACCTCGCAGTCTCTGCAAGTGTCCTGGGACCCACCGCCCAATTCCAGCCTCAACGGCGTCCTCAAGGGCTACAAGGTCATGTACGAGAACATGGACGCGCTGCAGGACGCCGCGGCGGGCAAACTCGACACCAAGAGCACCGCCGCGCTCACCGTCGGCCTCACCAATCTCGAGAAGCACACCAACTACTCGGTCCAGGTGCTCGCCTGGACGCGAGCCGGCGACGGCGTGGCCTCCGCCCCCCTCTACTGCGTCACCGAGGAGGACAGGCCCGAGGTGCCAGCCGGGATCAAGGCCGTGGCGAGCTCGGCCACGTCCATCATCGTCTCGTGGCAGCCGCCGCTGCGCAGCAACGGCATCATCACGTCCTACAGCGTGCACGTGCGCTCAGTGGGGCCCGACGGCAAGTGGTACAGGCGCGCGCTGCCGCCCCACGAGACCAGCTACCTCGCCGAGAATCTACACAAGAAGAACCAGTACGAGTTCAACATCGCCGCGGTGACCTCGGTGGGCGACGGCCCTCGCACGCCCTCGATCATCGTCTCCCCCTCGAGCGAGGTACGCGCCGCCGTCTACTCGTTCGGCGCCACCCTCGTCGTGCCCTGGAAGCAGGACGTCCTTCTACCCTGTCAGCGGGTGGGCAAGCCCGAGCCCAGCGTCACGTGGAAGCAGTGGGGTCAGGTGATCCGTTTCGGGCCGACCTCGCGACTCGTCCTCGAGAACGACGGCTCGCTGCAGATACGCGATCTGCATCGCGAGGACAGCGGCAACTACACCTGCCACGTGGAGAATCGCTACGGCTCGGATCAGATCACGCACCAGCTGACGGTTCAGGTGCCGCCCGCAGCCCCGATGCTTCACGCCACCAGCGCAACCAGCAACAGCATCAATCTGCAGTGGAAGCAGGGCGACGACGGCGGCGCCCAGATACGCGGCTACATACTCCACTTCAAGCGCGAGTTCGGCGAGTGGGAGGAGGTCAAGCTCTCCCACAAGGTCAGCAGCTATCAGCTGTCGCAGCTCTGGTGCGGCACCGACTATCAGGTCTACCTCACGGCCTACAATCGCATCGGCATGGGTTCGCCCTCGGAGATAGTTCGAGCCACTACAGAAGGTTCCAAGCCCGATGATTCCCCGGCCACGGGTGATCGATTCATCACCGTCAACGTGTCCTGGATCACGATGCACCTGCACGGCTGGCACGACGGCGGCTGCCCCATCACCCACTTCGAGCTCGAGTACAAGCGCTGGGGCGAGGAGCTCTGGACCCTGGTCTCCAACAACATCGAGGTGCAGAAGTCCTACACGCTGAGCGAGCTGCAGCCGGGCCAGGGCTACGAGCTGCGCATCAGGGCGCACAACAACGCCGGCAGCTCCGTGGCCGAGTACAAGATACAGACGCTGCAGCAGCCGCACAGCAGCTCGACCTCGCCCGGAGGATCGTTGGGAGGTGGTGCTGGTGGTGGTGGAGGTCTCGATGGGGTGGAGAGGAACGGATACGTGCCGCATCAGGGCCAGACGCCGGTTTACGCAGACGTGAGACTGGTGCTGCCCCTGGTGCTGAGCTCGGCGGTGGTGTGCGCAGCCGCGGCGGCCGTCTTCTACTGCTTTCGTAGGAGTGAGTTTTTTGTCTTGAGAATTTTTCACGAATTTTGCGACGTTTCGTTCGGTGCTGAGGAAATTTTTCGGGAGACGTTTAAGGGGGATATAGCTGTTGTTTTTTTTCTATAAAGAGTAAGAGCGTACTTAAAAAAACCAGACCAAGAATTGCTTTATATAATAATCGTAATTTTTTCTGACACTTGCGAGTTTATAACACTCCATCTGTTGATGGAATCAGAAAGCTCGTAATCAATTATGACACCTTTCATTACGATAAATCATGATACTTACATTTTCGTACAAAAATATAAATCTTTTTTAAAATTTATTAACTCCTGCATAATAAGAATTGTCAAAAGTTCGACAAAGTTAACGTGCATGTCTCGATTGTTTTTTACGGGCAAGCTCTGAAATCTAATGTTAAAAGCAAAAATTGAATTTTTATTGAACGGAAATGGGCATGTACCACTCAGGTCATAGAGGATTGTCATGCTAACATTTTAAAACCTCGAAGATCAAGATAGGTAAAAAAGTGAGATCAGAAACATTTTACCAAGATCTTGTATGAAACATAATTTAAACATTCAGAATCATTTGAAACAAAATCTTTGGGGTAAAAATACCCAGAATAACACAATTTCTTACTAAACAGTGAAAATTTAATAATGATAATTTATAGAAAGAAAAACAGATGTGTCCCCTGAAACGATATCAAAGTTCGAAATTGAAATTGAAACTTTTCAATCGCGTTTTCTAATATTGATCATTAAAAAGCTAGGTAGAATTTAATTTTCAATTTCAATTTTCGTTTATTCTCCGAACTTTTGCATCTAAACTCTTCATAAAAGTACAATTTAAAATTTTCGCCATTACCAACCAAAGTCGAAAAGTAATTATATATCCACGACTGTATATAATTTCATACACACTCGCGCAAAAAGAGAATTAGCGAGCGCGATCGAGTTCGGTAATATAAAGTGCGCGTTTAAGCAGAGCTGCTTAAAGCAGGACTCACACCGAGCGTTGCTTGTTGTTTTAATTAACGTAGGGCCTTTGATGGGTGACTTAGGGAGCCTGCACGACGCCCAGACCGCCGCCGCCCTGGACAACAAGCAAAACATGGAGCAGAGGGAGCAGTACTACGCCACGGTGAGGAAGCCGCTGCGCTCGCCAATTCACGAGATTGGTACGTTGGAAAGAATACCAGGTAACAATTAGCGTAATCCAGGATAATAATAACCGCATTTTCCCTCCCGTTCTCTTTCTTTTTCACCTCGGTTGAACTTCGATTAAGTTTGATTGGCTACTCGAGTGACGATAATTTGCGGACTTTTATATAAGCTGCTTAAATAAATTTCCATTTTCAATTAGTACTTCGCGTCTTATCGATTTCGAATCCTAATTATAATCCTGAAATAAAGACTAATGCAACAAAAAACAAATTTTGTTTCAAACTTGTGTGTTTGTTTTCCAGAATACTCGGAGGACATTTATCCCTACGCGACGTTTCAACTGAAGGAGAGCGTGCCGAGTAGCGATAGCCGCTGCGACTCGGCTGCGCCCTTGCAGACCTTCGTCTATCACGATCCGAGGCTCTCGGCCGCGGACACGCTCCAGCTCAGAGAGGTGAGTCGCGCGATTCGACTATTTTTCTGTTTCTTTCCTTTTGTTTTACTTCGACGTAGCTGACTTGGTGTATGATCTTTGCACGAACATCATCCCGAGTTCTTGACTCTTTTTTTTTACATCACTTTTAACGGCTGTAATGTATTCACACTATTTTTCTTACTTTCACGATTGCTAAAAAAGAAACCATTGTGACGTAGATAGTTTTCATTTTCATTGCACTGCATTTTCCTTTATCTATCATTTCACCTTTCAGAATCATTTATAATTTAAAGAGAAATAAATTATGAGAGTTTTCTGTGACTTCAATAACTTTTCATATATAAACAAAGACCGCGACCTCGTATAAGCTAAAGCCGATTTATTTTAAGTTTTGAATAGTTCAATCGTATGATTCCGTAATATTATTGATTTCGTTAACTCGTCTTTCTGCATCGGAAAATCCATTAATCATTTTTCGACTGCTGGTCCGTCGTTTGAGGTGTGTCTAATGCGTTCAAAATAGTCGTCGTATCTTTTGAGTTCAAAAGTTCAATTTAATTCAAGATTAATTTATACTACTGAAAAGACCGTTTTTATAGATTAGTTTAACCATTGATTCAGCATTATCACATATCATCTCCATCGTCATAATCATTATCATTAATTTTATCATTAATTATCAGCATCATTAACGTACATTGTCTATTAGATATCATGTAAAGTACTTTACAAAAAAATCTTCATCATTTTGGTTAGATTTTCATCGTTATATTTTCAGATTCAACTCATGAACGTACAATAGCTCTTAGTATAACGTAAAAAATTGATCTTTTCATTAGTTTTCGTATCACATTTACTTTAGAGACTGAATCATTTACAAGCTCAATGCTTATTTATCAATTAACCAAACAAAAAAAAAATCTTCAAAAATGATGAACCACTTTTGTGTATGGGTGTGTCTATGCCAAAAAAAGCCCGTTCGATTGCAGCCGGATTGCAATCGGTACGCGAAGGTACTGCGCGGGGGTGGTGGCGGCGGCGGCGGCGGCAACCGGCCTGCGTCGGTGCCCCTTCGAGGCGGCGGCGGCAAGCCCGACCACCACCACCACAAGCCACTGAGCCAGGGTAAATCCGAGTCGGAAGAGTACGACACGCTGGGCTCGGACAGCGACACGGAGCTCGGCGGGGGGACCAGCAGCCGTACCGAGTCCTCCAATCACCTTCTTCTTGACGATCGTTCCCAACACTCCTCGGCGGCGAATCATAATAATAATTCAGCGGCCGCCGAAGCTCGCGTTCACAGTACGCATAATTGCTTACGATACTCTCTCTCTCTCTTATTTCCGAGACTCTCTTTTTTTCGAGTTTACTACGTAGCTTTCGACCAGAGTATCCTGAATTATGATTTTTCTACCCGATGCATGAGAAGAATTACTTTCGTTTTTTAGCCTCGAGTAGTCGTTTAAACGTGTTTATCGCTTGCGATAACGTAGCCACATTTAAAAATGTTGAATCGTATTTTCTAGACTTCTTGTACCATGGACCAGAATCTAGCACGTCTACAGAACCCTCACCGGTTTTTGAGAGAAAATCGTTTCCTGGAAGGGGAAGACCCAAGTAAGTACTTCCGGTCACTGGACTTATATCCCACATATTTACAATGATACAATAATTTGATTTTTAAAAGTTTTATACTTAGAAGTATAAAATAATATTATATTATAATATTTATAATATATAATATAATAATATATAATTATAATATAATAATATATAATTTTATACTTATAAGTATGTATACATTGCTTTCAAAAAAATTCGTTAACTTATGAGTATTTATAACTTGACTTCATTTCATTATTTTCAATAACATTAAGATCTGGGGAGCGAATGGATGAGACATCAATGTTTTGTAAAGAAGTATAAAAATAGTTTTTTTTATAAATTTGTGATGAGGGGAATTTATTAAAAATCAAACTATTTTATAATTGTAAAACGTGGGATAATTATTCATACTTCTTTCCAATCTTCGTCCAGGATGCTACAGCTGGCGCGTTGTCCAACCGGGGGGGAGAAGACCAGGCCAGAGCACTTCGTCGTCAACGGGGGGGCCAACCCCAGGCCCGGGTCCTCACAATCCACAAAGCAGCAGCAACAACAACAGCAGCAGCAGTACCAGCAACAGCAGCGGCGGCAGTACCAGTACCACCACAAGCCAGCTGCACCACCACCCCCACCACCATCACAGCAGCAGCAGCAGTCATCCGCAGCATCCGCCGCCGCCGCCGCCAATCGCCAACATAACGGCTGGTCGCACCACCACCAACAACAGCAGCAGCAGCAGCAACAGCAGCAGGAGCATCATCCAGGATCAGGCATGTTCTGTGCCAAGCTGGATCCACCCACAGGCTTCTCCGACCAGGCTGAATTGATGCTAGCCGCGGAATCAGATCAACAACGATTGACGTCGTGCCACGTCGGCCGCGAATTAAATCACTCGAGACCCCCGTCCTCCGCCTCGCAGTCGCAACGGAGTAGTAGCAACAGCGGCAAACACATACGCGACTACGTCATAGCTGTGTAAATACCCTCGACAACCCCTGTAACCCGTTCCCCAGTATACTCGAGTCCTTTTTTTGCCGGGTTTGGCACCTCGTTAATTAATTAACAAATAAAAGAAAAATTGCGCAAAAAGTTCGGCTAGTTCGATAATTGTTTCAACGAAATATATAGAGGGAAGGAAGCGTTTTGATACACCGATCAACGATTAACTACACTGCCATCGGGTTTTGAGATGTTAGCTTGTAACGCCACACACTATTATACAATAATGAGATAAATAACGAAAAAAAAACGCGAAATACTTATATAATTATCATGTCGATGCGCGATAATTTACTTGGAACAATGTGTGAACTTCTAAGTGCATCAAATAGAGAATACACGAATGATAAATATAAATATATGTATAATTAATCGCTTCGATTGGTCCTCTGCCGAGATACGAAAACAAACAAAAAATAGGCAAGATCGAGCGAGGTTAAAAAATATGTTGAACTTGTGTAACACAAATGAGATAATATACAAGTCGAAAAAATAATAAAATAAATAAAAAAAGGGCCTTGCTTTAAACGTTGCGGCGCCCGCCTGTTCGTGCGTCTATGTGTGTATATGTCATGAATCAATTTTTTTATGTATACATACATAAACACCCGTCAAAAAAGTTGTCCTGTTGAAAATCGTATACATATTATAAATAATACAGCATTATTATATTATACGAAAAGTAAAAAAAAAATTGCCGAAAGGGTTGAGAGAATTTGTGCGTGAGAGAGAGAAGGAGGGACGTTGATAGTTTAAAACCAAAAAAATGAAGAGACTCTTTTGAAACTCGTGTGAGAGGAATGATCACACACGGCTGCGTTTGTTTCTCGACGGTTTCAATGATGAATAAAAAAAATTGTTTGTATTATATTTACTTTGTAAAATATACATAATTTATTCGAAATTATCGTTGGTATTTGCTTTATTAATTATCACCATCCCAATCAATGAAACTGCGAAAGTATATTCGGTTGGATGACTCTCGTCATTATCTTTATTGGTACTTTGTATAAGAAAAGACTCAAAATACACTCAAATATTTTATACAACTATTATTTGTCACTTTTACATAAAAATTGACTCGATAAAGATTTTTATTCTTCGTAAAATGCTAAAACTTACGATCTATATCTTCTCTTATTTATTGCTTTATTCCCTATTCGGAACTTTAATCTCTTGTTTATATATCATAGTTAGTGTAATCGAATAGAGAGCATACGGTGTACATTTTTTGTGTTTTTTGGAAATATTCTTGTGGTGTAAAAATTGCACGTTATACTCATTTTCCACGTTCTACGTATAAATATGTCAGTTCAAAAGTTTGAAACTTTTATTACGGAGAATATCGTTGCATCGAGAGTAAAAAATTCTAGACTTTTTTTTTTGTCAGTTACGCATTTAAAATTGTAAATGCCACTATAGTCTAACTATTTACGTTTGAGACCATCGATACTTTGCTCTATGTAAAATATAATTGAAAGTTGACGCGGATATAAGTTCGAGTACAAAACAAAAGTACATAATTACGACATTTTTGAAATTTGCAACGGTATGTTTTTTTTACAATGATTGTCGACAATTAAAAAATGTACAAAATGTCCAAAGCGTCGAATTTTCAATAAAATCGATCGCCATGGTCCCGACTACCATATAAAGCTCAATTCGAAATACCTATTACATATTAACACACAGCGCTCTTCTTTTTTTCGCTTTTAAAACAGCCATGAAATAAAAAAAAAAGGATCGTGACTCCTTTTTTTTTTTTCTTAATAAACTCACTCGCATTCGCGCGCGCACACACACACGCACACACTGCGCACAATCACGTATATGCCATTTATAAGAAAATACTAGCGCGTCGATTTTTCTTTCTTTAAAACGACGCGCTTTGTCTTTTTCTTTCCTTTATATAGCTGCGCTCGCGCGCGTACGTAAACATACGCGACTCACTGACTCTTATAATCTCCCGACGACAGGAAAAAAAAATATTATTAGTCTTCTAACTAAGATCAATATAGTTTAAAGTATATAATGTAAAAGCGAATCGTGTATGTAATATCGACTAACTATATCCATGCGGAGCACGCACTATTTCGAAGAATATTATTACGAACTACCTACTCGATAGGTATCGTTTTTATTAACAGCAATACGGAGCGAGGATTTCAATTATCACACATTTTATATTTTTATATCTTTTCCCCTTCGGTTATCGTCGATTTGGTGTTTGTTTTTTCGTTTGTTTTTTGTCTTTGGAATGAATGAACTGTTCATCTTCCGTCGATAAGGGCTGAATCAAGAATACTGTGCCCTGGCGTTCATTAATTATTACAACTAAATTTTTAAATGAAGAAAGTGCGATACTTTACAAAAAAAAAAGTTATCAGTTTTTTTGTGAGAAATTTCAATCCTTGAGTACATTTTTTTATACAGTCGGTCGTGCAGGAATCTACACACTTTGAAATTGGTCTAAATTATCTAAAGTAAGCAACGTTTACGGAGCTCACTTTGACTGTGACACGATTATTTCACTCGGCAGACCTCAAATGAATTTTATAATGTAGTTCGATTTTTAAACGATTAATCAACTAAGTTTTTAAGTTTTCGGGATAAAAACCACGATCTAGACTCGAATAATTCTACTAATCATTTTTCTTTACATCGACATGAATTTGTATAAAAAAAGGAGGAGGGCAAGCACTTTATCCAATCTACGACCTTAACATTAAATAAAAAAATTTCTCGCTCTCGACTATACACGTCTCTCTTCGTTTCGAGTCAAGATCAAACAAGAGTAAAACAGCCTCCTGCACTTGCGAAGCTCTGCGGTGAACCGTAACACGAGTCTGCGATATAATAATGAAAACGAATGTTTTTTTTTCTTCTGGGATGACGTGTTTTTTCTTCTTGCATCTTGAGAAACGATCGACTGATGTGTATACAATCAGAGACGATGCGGCGCCGTGGAAGATCTTCAGCTGCCCAGCCTCTGGGGCAGGGGCAGATTGCAGATCTGATTGTGCACCGGCATGGCCAACCAGCCGGCGATGGCGATGCCGAACGAGTCCGACATCGAGGCGATACCTAGTGCCACTTGACGTTTTTCCCATGGTACCTGCGTACGTGATAAAAAAAAATGAGAAAAATGCGTTAATTTTTTATGATCTCGCCTTTTGTGGAATCTCCGACGCGCAGGAAATTGCTTTATGACTTTCAATTGCTTTATTGCAAATGTACGAGGTCTCGTTCTTTTTTTTTTTTTTATCGCACTCTAAATATTTAAACACGATGGCGAGATAAGCGCGAAACAAAGATATCGAACAAAACAACGATGTAGAAATTCGCAAAATTTCTTCAACGAGTTTTATAAAAGAAAAAAATTAGACGATTCGATAATTACCTCTTTCGTCATTCTGTAGAAGGTGTTGACGTAAGCGGCGCCTCCTAGGAGACCCTCCCACAATACCAGAGCGAACACAATCCAAATCGTTGGAATGTAATAATAAATGGCTTCGAAAGTCATTATAACGACGTTGATGAACTGCAACGATAAAAAAAAATTAAATGAAAATAATGTTCAGCAAAAGTATGACAATAACATGGAATTGTGTGTATCTGTTGTACGTACTTGTAACACGGACATGATCCAGATCTTGTCGACAGATAAGAAGTTGATGGAGGATCGGGACAAGAATACTCCGATTTGGTAGTCCATCTGTAGGATGCGGTACTGCAGCTTGTGCTCCAACGAGAAATTGCGGAAATCGATAAGCTCGTACTGAAAAAAAAACAAAATCAGATTAGTACAATAATTAATAATAATTTATCGTTCCGATCGTCGATTAACTCACCAGTCCCTGATTGATGAAGTACTCGAAGAAGTAGACCAGCGCCAGCGGGATCATGTACTTGAGCAGCTTGGGCACCAGGGCGAACTTCTCCTTGAGCGTCATGTTCGGCGCCTCTATCATCTGCTCCTGGCTGCCGGCCCCTCCGTTCTCCACGACGAGGGTCATGGCCGGCTCCGGGTGCAGCAGCACCAGCCAGAAGGTCAGCGCCTGGACGATGGGCACGACGAGCATGACCATGAGGGCGTCCTTGGGCCCGAGCAGCTCGTGCAGCAGTATGTACGAGGCGGCGCCGATGATGCCGGCACCGCCGGTGCCCGACGACCACGTGGATATCACGTTTCTTTGGAAGAAAAAATATATCGTTAATAATTTGCCACGGTTTCTTATTATTTTCGATTTTTTTGTATTTTGATACGCACTTGGTGTAACGATGACTGTAGCTGAGTATCGTGACTTCACCCAGACCCGAGGACAGCGACGTGATGACGACGCCGACGATTGCGAGGATTTGCATGCCACCGGATTGAGAGACCAGTAGTAGACCCGCCGCGGAGAACGTCACGCAGACCATCATTCGTGCGCTGAAAAAAACCAAATCGACCTGTGTTTTAGCCAAAATAACCGTAAGGTAGGGGTTGGAGGAGAGCGCGTCAAAGTCGATTGAATTTTAATAATTTTTTTTTTTTCAACTATTTTTTTAAGCGTAAAGAGACGCGCTATTAATTAATAAGTAAGTAGTTGATTCGATTGAAAAAAAATTTCAGGCAAGGTTTGTGAAGACACAATTATAATTTGAAAATGAGAACGATTGCAACTTTTTCGAGTCGTTTTTCAAGAGGATTTTCCAGCTTTAACGGTGTGAATTATTAGTCGTCGAAACTTATTACATAGGAATTATGTACTTAAATAATGAATGAAGCTAAATATTGAGTTTGCTCGCGCGAACGAGAGAAACAAATTTTTCAACCAACAAGAGGTACAAACTGAACATTTTTCTGACGTGAATAATCGTTTTAAATGGAAGCCGCTCGCGGATGATTCAAGCGTGGCGGATTTTTACTACTCCAAATAAGTAAATCTTTTGTCAGCGCTTTTCGCGCGAGCGCAACGACAAAAAAGAAGCGGAGCTAAGCAATTTAAATTTTCAATTTACCAATATTCTAATGGTATGTAATTGGAAAAAATGAACTTTAAAAAAACTCGTGAATAAATTATATGTACAATAATGCCGTGCGTGTGTGTGAAAATATCGTCACCGCTGAAAAATTCATTTGTTTGGTTGATGACGGGTTGACGACTATTTTAGATCGCTGGAGTTCGGCTTCGTAAATAATAATATGATCGCGATCGAAATAGGCCGGAATACACTCTTGAAAAACAAAACGAAAAACGAATACTTTACAGAGCAATGAATTTTTTGTTTCGTTTCGACAAAGTGACTAAAAAAAAAAAATAGAAAAAGAATCGAATGAATGAAGATTACTTGTTATTATTTTTTCTTTTTCCGTCTTTTCTTATAATGATAATAATTATTTATTAAAAAAAAAAATAAAGTTTGATTAGAGTTTATATACCTCGCGACGCGGTGCGCAACCGCGAACCACCTCGTCGCTAATCTCAATCCTATAACGACAATACGATCACAATATTGTCGGAGGTTTTTTTTTCTATTGAGTTATACGTGCACACACGTACACCGTGTCTATTTAATTTTTTTTTTGTTTTTCTCAAATATCTCGTCACTTTTTTTCGTTCGGTCTTTTAATGGCACACAGCTTTGCGTTGCGGATCATTAAACGGACCAACTCTCGAGATGAAACTTTTATAGCACGGGTACACGCACGCACACATAATTGAGCCCTCACACCACGCGCTTCTTTCGTCTGAAGCATAATACATATAACATGGACATAATAACATAATAATGATAAACATGATTTAATTAATGACTATAAAAATGGTAATTCATACAGAAATTATAGCTATTACTTTTCTTTTATGTTTTGTTTCAGTTTTTGTATGCTTTTTGGTTTTTGCTAATTGACCTTGACATTTTCGTCGTTGATTCATGTATATGAAGTTAATAAGAACAATGTATCTCATCGATATCTTAGGAATCTCCAAAATAGAGAGATCCTCTCGTTTAATGCTAATGCAAACTACGAAATGAAAAGATTCATCAGCACATTCTTGATTAATTAGCACTAACAAAACGTATACTTTGTTACTACGAAGTTTTTTTTTCTCTTTAACACACATGTGTTCTTTTTTTTTCATTATGTAAGTAAATGAATTATCACATAATCTCTATTATATCGTTAGAGGCACTTTGAGCGTTGCTTCAAAAATTTACTCTATCTCAGGAAAAACGAATTCCTCCGCAGAAAATTGTATAATTATCTTTTAGACATTCTGTAGACTATTTAAAAAAAGTACTGTTTTTATTCTCTCTTTTTTTTTCTTTTTTTTTAAGTGCGAGCTGTCGTCTGTGCGCGACAGTTGAAAATGCAATAATGGCCATTAATGAAGTGATTGACATTTTAGAAACTGCGATATAATCTCGTTGCATAAATTCATGCACCTTGTTATAAACACACAAACGTTACAGAAATGGTGCGAAAATGTGTTGTCTCTCTTCTCTTTTTTTTTTTTTTTAACTTTAAATGAATGGAAAGATTCATCGAAATAATTGATGATCATTATAATCGTAAATTGACGCATTCAAAAGCACACAATATATCGGAGTTATGTATAAACCGCCAAATATGGCTCGAATAATGATAAAAGTGTTTTAATGAATGTGCAGCAAATCTCACTCTGTGAATGCATATTGTAACAATTAATTATATTGCTATAGTTTTCTAATTTGATAATATTACTCATGATGTGAGTGAAAAAATCATTCTAAAAACTTCTCTCTCTTTGCAAAAATTGAATGTACAAATTAGTCCAAAAAAAAAAAATTGACACAATGTATATAAATGTTGTTAAAAATTTTGCTCGAACACGTTTTGTAAACGCTTACATGTAGCTTATAATTGCTCGAAGGGTAGTATAATCGGGCGCAACGTTCGGATCATCGGTGTGTGACGCACCAATTGTTTTCTGAAAAACGTTACGCTTTTTTCTATATCCTTGCGCTTGAAGAAGAAAAAATATAAATAACTGGCATATTAAAAATAAAAAGAAAAAAGTTACGAAAAAAATTAATATATTCATTAAATGCTTAACTATTTTAAAAATTCTTAATTTTTTAGTATTTGCAATATAGATATCTACTTGTGTCTGTGTGTGTTTGTGTCTCTGTGTCATGCGTACGTGTGAAATCAAAAGAAAAGATGAAGGAGAATAATAATTCCGATATCAGCATATAAGGGAATAACGATCATTTTGTATACTCGCGATAAAGATCGATATGGATCTCGCGTATGTAATCGCGCTTCCGATCGCCGCTTTAAAATAAACACGTGGAATCTACGATTATTATATATATACACGTTATTTCAATGACGTAACGATCCGATTGATGTATAAACACACAACATCATCATCAACTTGGACGCGATACATAGTCGAGGGAGAAAAATTTTAATCGATTCACGCGATAATTTTCATGAAAATAAACTTGTTTTTCCAACGCAGTCGAGCATTCTTTCGGATTCGCGCGAGCTCGCGCGAGTTAGAGATCGACGATTACACTTTAACTGTATTTTATGATGAGCCGACGAGATTTTCGCGCGTGCGCTATACACAAGTACAATGACGTACATCCAGAGAATTTTGCACAAAAAAAAAGGAAAATCTTATCGTCGATCTTAGCGCGTATGCAGAAATTCGCGAATTTTTCGTTCGTGTATACGTTATTCCTCCGTACATTGATTCCTTTTTGACGATGATGATGATAATAATAACAGTATGTCTATATTGTGTTACATATCGAGTATTTCGCATCAAAATTCTCGATTCTCCAAAACTGTGCGTACACGTATATATACGCAAGTCGTTTTGCATTAGCATTCGTTGTGACGAGTAAAATTCCTCCGACGACGATGATACACCTTTTGTCAAGTTCAACGTCGAGGCAATGGGATATTTTCGTCAGCAAAGACGGTCATCGCAATTGACAATTGGTCTCACGGATTCGTGGTTTTGACCGCCGATCTCGTCTCGAGATTCGAGACGAGCCGACTGCGCACGTACTGCGCGTCTACTATCGAAATAAGCCACAATTGAGAATTAACGCGCGCGTATAGCATTGTAATTCGTTACTTTGACAAAAAAAAAACGACGTTGTGCGGAGTATCGAAATTTTGATGCGAAACGAGGAATGGAACGTGAAAAAAATGTCTGTGTTTCAATATATAAACTATTTATATATTTTATAATAAATATCGAAAAATGTAAAAATGAACAAATGGCATACCTTATCCGCTATTTACGATAATCAATCAATTATTCAATTTTTTATATTAATAATAAAGATAAATGAATTGTGGATCAAATGGAGTATTTTACTTGAGTATACGTTCAGATCGGTATACAAGCAAAAAAAAAAAAAAAGAATGACCATATTAGGATATATAGAAGAAGTCGAAAGGGAATACTTACTGCACCATGAATGGCAAAAACGGCGCTATCAACTTAACGGCCACGCTGGGCAGTATGTCGGCCAGCAGAATGGCACCCGTCGAGAGCTCGTTGCAGTCGCGCGTCGTCGCGTTCGCCACTTTGTGCTCCGTCTGCGAACAAGGAGCAAACAAAAAAATTATAAATGTGAATAAAAAAAAGGAGACAATGTCTATTCTGCATTATTATTATCATACAAAAAGTTGATGAAAATCTCGCGCGGTAGTCGTTATATAGTATCACGAGCGCATTGATCCGGAAAAGTAGGTGGCACACATCATCGTGCTACGTTGCGAATAACAATATATAAGTCCGCGCGCTGCACAGGATCGGATTTCCGAGATCGTGTAGAGCTGTTTAATCGGTCGTGAAACGCGTTACGAATATAATATATCCAACGCATATCGTCATAGTTTTCAAGTTCGAAACTACATCATTGACGCATAAGGTGGTTACAGGCAAAAAAAAAAAAAAGAAAAGTTTGACAATCTGTCGAATGTAAAATTTTTGTATCTCGAGTCTTTGTCATTCGTCCTTGAAATTTTATCATCGAAGCTCGGCTACCGATAAAAGTCAACGCGGTAATTCGATCAGCGGGTGGTGGGCTCGTCTCTCGTTCAATTCGAATGAATCGTCGTTACAGAGTCGCAAGAGATAAGCTCGGTACGTATCTACGATCGGAAGGTGGGTCAAAAAAGTCGGACAAGCCGAGCAGTAGCGGCAGTCGTGATTGCGCCGCGTGCAATCCCGCAATTTAGACACTTGTTGACTCGGCCGTCTACTTACGATATTATATATGTATCGCGTATCACGTGCTTCACGTTGCGCGGGGGCCCACTTAAGGGATACATTTTGTACTATATATAGCTTCAGTCATGTACTGCTGTGTGTACCGGAACTCGATCGTCCGGGTCGGTCATTGAAAGGAGCCCTTGAGCCCACATGCAAAAACACATCGCTTTATTTTTACCGATCCGCACGTCGTCGCAGTAATATTATTATCAAATTGACGCAGCAGCGGCAGCGGCATAAGCCATAATAGGTGGGTTTTACGACGCGTCGTAATTTATAAAGGAACCAGATCCAACCGGCTGCTCGATCAGCGAAATCGCGCAGCATCGAAATTAAAGAAATTGTCGCGTCGTAATTGTAATTAATCAGCTATGTGTGACACGAGAGATCAGTGTCTATGACAATTGTCTTTGTAAAAGGGAGCTTGCAAAAACTGCGACCCTTAATACTCGACTGACATAGATTAAGTATCACGTGTTTATACACGCATATCTCTCACACACGATGTCCGAATATTACCAACGAGGCATATATTAGAACGCGCGTCAGGCACAATTGACAAATTGAAGGCCGTCACCTTCAAGACAAGTACAAGAGGTCGTCGTCGTCGTCGTCGACGCGAATTTATAAGGCTATAGAGCTCGTGTGGCGCGTGTTGTTGGGGTCTTTTTTTTCGACATCTTGAGAGATTATATGCGCAGACGAGGCAATATAGTTCCAACAAGATCTAACGATTATGCATTGATTCGAATCCGGACTCGTCTGGTGTTGTTTAGTACGTTGACTCGTACATAATTGTCGCGTCTAAACAATTTTTATTTTTTCGCGAGTTCACCAGCCATTTCACACGACCGGATAAAACCGATCTACTTTCGATCTTATGTATGTAATAGCCCTGGCTTACTTTTACTCAAGAATCAGATTATATCCAGAACAACGACGACGACGATAAAACAATAAATGATAAGCGTTAATAATAATCATCTCTCGCGAGCTTGTAAGTATAATAATATAATAATAAATTACATGGGTGTGCGAAGGTAAAACGAGTTCGAATTTTTTATTATATCGTCGCACTCAACGGAAGTCTTGAGCTTTTTTTCGATATAATGTATGTATACGTGCCGCTACGATTTGCTACATTGTTTACACGCCGCTGTGTATAATATATGTAAGCCGTTTTACAATCGCCGAGGGGCCGATCCGGTGCGCGCGTGCGAATCGTCAGCTTTAAAAATCGTTATTTTCTTTGCACAATAAAAAAAAAAGAGAGAGAGATGAAGATAAAATACACCCGAAGTACAAAAAGGCCATTGTACCGCGTCCGAAATTTGCCGAATCTCCCCACCATCATATATATATTATCGACACGTGCGGGTAACTCGTGCGTGTGTGGGGGTCAAAGTATGGCGATCGATACGATTTTCGAGACGCAACATTGCAGGCGACGATCGTTATTGTATTTGATTTTTCAAAGAGGAGCATCAGCTCGAGAGACAGAGTCGAACGAAGAAGGAAGTTGTCCGTCAGAGATCGCAGACAGATAAACCTGCGCGCTCGACGTCTAATTATTGTCGACTTTTTCATATATATCACGCGTGTGTGTATAGGTACGTACACCCACACTCGTGTATATACCGATTGTCTTCAATCGGTGCCTTTGCATAACGTATACACGATCTAACGCTAATCTTTTTTATCAGTGACTAGTGGATTTTGTTCGCTCTATACACGTCTGTCTCTATCCGTGTGTGAAAAAATAGCTCGCGCCAACGTAATACATCCGATACACACACACAAAACGTATATAGTGTGTCGAGTCTCGCGCGCACGAATCGTAATAGATCGGAATGCGGCGGCGGCGGCGCGGGAGATCGTTTAAATTAAATCTCCGTGATTCACCCGCGCAGCAGCACTATTAAAACCACACCACCGCAGCAGCAGCACACAGCCGGCGGCTGACCGACTATATACTCCGTTGCCGGTGTTTTTCCTGATATTATTTTATATCGTGTGTATTGGAGTAATAATGCCAAAAAGTGTTTCGTGGAATCGTCGTCGAAATCTTTTCTTGACTCTTGCTTGTATAGTAGGAAAATTGAATCCGTTGAATATTATGAATCATTGTGTAATTGACCGTGCCGTTTGATTAAAAGTAAAAAAAAAGGCATTAAACTTTTAACTATTGGTGAAACGAATGTCGACGGACTTGTAATTGAGTTTCTCTGCTTGCTGCTGCTGCTGCTCTCGATCTCCCGACGTACATAATACATTAATAAACGTTATGATACAAAACGCGTCGCTGCGATAAAAAAGAAATCGACGTTCGGTTATCGTTTGTTGTTTTTTTTATCACCTCTCGCATGTGTACGCTCGTATGTATAATGAGCGTGTATATATTTCTGACTATAATGTATCGCGTGTTCTCCTTTTTGAACAAAACCTAAAATTAAACGTATAAAACATCGATTCAACAGATTCGTCGCGAAAATTTTTTTCTCTATCTTGAAAAAAAAGAAAAGATGAGAAAAGTAAACAGAAGAAAAAGAAAGAAAAAACATCGTGCGACTCTTTGTATTCCTTGCCTCGCGCGCGCTTACATACGTTTATGACTGATAATGGTATACTGAAATTTTTGCTGAGTAAAAATTCGACGTTTGTACTGTACAAGCGCTACGCTGGAAACTCGAGAAGTTAATATGTATAATAATCGCGAAATCATATCAGCCAAGTAGTGACAGTGGCAGTGGCAGCTGCGTTAGCTACTACGGCCAAAGCAAAGAAACGAGAGAGAGAGAGAAAAAAAAGTCGGCCAAACACGACGCGCGACGATAGTAATGTAGGTCTATGCTCTTTTTTTTTTCATACGCATATTATCCGCAAAATTTTTGGGCAGATGTGTGTGCCTCCGCCGCTGACGACGACGAGTTTGCTCCATATTAAATTATAGTGTATAGCCGCCCTCTGGGCGCGCACATGTTTATGCATAATATATACATATACGTCACGACGATATGCGGGCGCGCGGATGAATTAAAATGCGCGGACTATTTTTAACGTTAACGTTTCGACGACGACGCCGTCGAGCGTGTGGGCGTCGTTTTGTGTGCACGTTTCCGTATACGCGTTATACATTTCGCAGTCTCGTTTGTCCGTGTGTGTGCGTTCGTTCGTCGGCATTTCGCGAAAAATTGCGTAGAAAACCGAGTATAGATAATACAAACGTGTTTGTGTGCGTGCTTTTATAAAAAAGAAGAAGAGAAGCGCTTAAAAAGCGGAGAGTATACACACAAACGACGCGCGTGCAGATATATATAATAAACGTGAATGGCCAGAAATAAATGTGTAGCCAGCAACGGCCTATAAGCTTAGCTTTTTCCATAGACGAAGAAGTGTTGCTGCTGCCCACGCTTTTATACATACAATACGGTTGTATATATATGTATCGGCACTGTGTCACTGAGCCACCAGAAGGCTACATGTAATACAGACAGACCAGTGTGTGTTCTTAGCTTATGTGTGTGTGCGAATGTGCGTCTATGTGCGTACGAAAAAATTTTGCAACGCGTCTTTGAACACCATGATTAGCAATCGCGAAAAAAACTTATTTTTTTTTTTCCAACGAACTTTCGAGTCTCGCGATATCGATGAAACAAACGATCATCCGTTCAAACAATAATAATTAATTAAACAAACTCACCGTCGTCGGATCGTCGTTGAGGGCGAGTATGTCGTGAGCCGCGCTCAGCATCACCACGTAGCCGTAATTGTTGCACAGTCCGAGGATCCAGAAGGCGAGGAGATTCCTCCAGCCGTCGCGGCTGACCACGGGACCGCTGCTGAAGGCCGCCTTGGAGCTGGCCGCCTCGACGACGCCGGCGTCCTTGCCTTTCTTCGACATGCTGCTGCTGCTGATTTGATGGCTTCTGTTGCTGTCGCCGAATCCGTTGCTCTTCTTCTTCGTCTTCGTCTTCGTCTTCGACTCGTTATCGTCGTGCTTATTTATTCCTTCCCTCTGCTGCTCGCGAGGCGGGTGTTAATCGACATACAAAAACAAGGGAGGCAATTTATCGGCTCCGTTCTACTTCATTCAACTTTTCGTGTGTGTGTGTAAATTGGGTCTGTTGACGTTTTTGCACACGTGCGACTAACAGAGTCACCGGTCAAGACACACTACTCTCTCTCTCTCTTCAGGCGAATCAAACTCGCGGGTACGCACTCGCGCGACTGATAATAAAAGTGCGCTACACAGAGAGATAGAGCCCAAGCGCACACAATACGACACCAAGCTGCAAAGTAGTAGGGAAAAAATCGAGAGAGAGGAGAGAAATATACAGCAGATAAGACGGCGCGCGTGTGTCTCGTCGCGCCGCGTCAAACGAATATAATGTGGAGCGCAGAGGCACCGCAGCGGGCTTTTATATGGCGGATAAGAAGCCGAACACGCGCATATTCATCGTATATACATATACGTGTGTGTGTGTGTGAGCGTCAAACGCTTTTTCGCACTGGCTATACGTAGGCGCGTTCGTGTGTGTGTGTCTATGTGCGAGCGTCTGCACGGTACGGTTTGTGTGTGCTTCACCGAGTTTCGATATATATATAGCTATATACGTATTGTGTATATTCTCTCTCCTCTCTATTGTAAATGTGTGCGCGCGCGTGAATTTTATATATCTGCGCGATCGTAAGACGCTCCGTAAGTTGATCCTCTATATAGGTGTATACATTGTCGTATACTGCTCCCACCTGCGTATGATGTGTGCGTTCAATTAAATAAAATTTTTGATATAATTGTCGTTACGAGGAAAATCTCAAGGAATCGAGAGCTTTACGAGCTTGCGAGCGTGTACACGCGTTGCATTATTTTATTGCGATTTCGTTGACTTTGATCCAAATTCGAACTGTAAACAAATGCGGCGCTATGTATAGACCGCTGCGTTCGACAACAAAATTCGTTCGCATTTTTTGGATAAACAATCTGAATTTGTAAGATTTACTCCGATGTTTCAATTAAAAGATAAAAGCGTCAAAGTTATGTCGACTGAGAATACGTCGTAAGAGTAATGCGTGAAAAAAAAAATTCTCGCTGCAGTGGCAGTTTTTTTTTTTTTATTAATGGTCAATTGAATCGATTTTACTCGAACGTTTCTTTCGCGAGAGAGATTCGAGCGATCGTCGTTTACTTTCAATTGGAAGAAAGCATATACATATATACGCTAATTGACTCGATGACGGCTCGAAAATTTCAATCCGCATACAAAAAGATAATTCTGCCCTTTTCTCGAATCGAAAATCTCATTTCCCCGACCGATCGAGAAAACAATTAAAATCGTTCAAAGTTCGAGAATCCTCGGTGAAAAAAAAAACGAGTTTTGAGAAAATACACAGAGAGATGGAAAATTCGATTATATGTGCAATCATTTGCATAAAGCATTAAGATACGATCCAAGGATAAGATATACTAAACTGCGATCGAAGAGTCGCTAGACTAGATGCGCTTCACTATATGCATACGTGGCTCGAGTGTATCGAATTGCCTAATTGTCGTATTGATCTAATTCGATAAGGTTCCACACTAAAATATCGGAAAAATTTCGGACTCCTTCCCGTAGAAGCAAAGTTCGATCTATATAGTCAAGTATATTAGTCGGTCTCTTATATCGCTTTTGTATACATCGATATACAAGCGATATGACAATTGCCTTATGCTTCGAAACCTGCGCGTCTCTCTCTCTGTATATATTTTTTTTTTCGAACCTTCTAGAGTTGCAAGAAGAAGGCGCGCAGAGAAAGAGAGAGACGTTTTGCGCGCTCGGCGCTTATATTATATTATATACTTATATCGCATGTGTCCCTCATTTCTTATACTCTCATGCTCTCGATTCCTCTTCATTAGGTGCCGTATCGTAAATAAATCGTTCGAAAGCTTTAACGATGAAAACTATATTAACCGGTGGATGGGGTCATAAACTTATCAGCGAAAGCATGTATTATAAACCGTATCGGATATTATTATCGCGAGCTTTAGGTATATATTCATTATAGTTTATACGTCATCGACATGGGAGGTATATATATAAAAAAGTATTATAAAATACCAATTACCTGTTAAATATGCTAAAAAACGAGATTCGAGGGGGGCTACACATAAATCGGTATCGTACGATCAATTGTTAACTCACCAGGAGAGATCGTTCGCACGAAGAAGAAGAAGAGTCGCCGTCGACGTCGTCGTTATACCGATCCTCGTCGCGCAGGAGAAAGCCGCGATTACTCAGAGCCATTATTTCTTTTTTTTATCGTTATTATAAAAAGATGCAACTTTGTGTATTGACGAAATCACACGTTGACGATCAGAGAGAGACAGAAAAAAAAGTCGTACAATCGGCGGCGCGGCGCTGCAGCTCCTCCTCGTCCACCTTGCGCTATTGATATCCCAAGCTCAAGTGCACTAAAAAAGTGCCTGTGCGTTATATTATAATGCGCTCGCGTTCGTAGAAAGAAAGAAAGAAAGCGAGAGAGAGAGAGAGAGAGAGAGAACCCGCAAACCAAAGCTTCGAGAACGTTCGGCTTGCAATTGTATATGGATTTGTCTGTGTGTGCATGTATGTGTGTGCAGCTGCTGCGCTTTTACAGGCGAAAAAAAGAGAGAGAGAGAGAAAGAAATGGCGCTACGGTGAAATACACACGTGTGTGTGTGTGTGTGTGTGTGTAGGTTGCCGTGGGTGACTCGACTCTTGTATTATATTTGCCGGCCTGACGCATAATATATCGCACACACATGGATCGTGCGCGGAATGCGTATTTCCTTCCGCTTTGCTGCTTTTCGTTTTTTTTTTTTATGTGTATTATATGGTCGACAGACCCCACCAACGATCGAACGTGCACGAACTCGCCGGTTCTTGGCCGCGCTCGCGCGTGTTTTTTCGTCGGTGCGTTAGAGCTGTTTATTATTGCTGTTGATCTCGGCGTGTCCTTAAGGCACAAAAAAGTAAATGCAGAAATGACGTCTGTAACAGACCGATGCGATCGAATAGGAATCGCGACCGATCTATAGCTTCCTGATCGAGTCGATATGAGCAATTCTCTAAATGAAACGCATTTTTGGAGGTAGAATCGCGGCAAATTTTTTTTTCAACCTACGCGGATACGAACCCCCGGGAAATGTTTTTGGGGGTCCTAGGAACATGTAACCACGTAGGAACCATTGAAATTTCAATAGCGCTTAATTTTATAGCTACTTTTGTGATTTAGAGGACGAAAAATCATGTTTTCTCGTAAATGCGGCTAGTTACTCGATTTCCAAGTCGTTGAAAAAGTATCAAAACTCATCGGAAAAATTTAACTGACTACTCTATTCGATAGGAAATTTTCTCAGCTTTCCGATGGTGGTATCAGATTTTACGATAAGTCACACATTCACCGAGAAAATCTTCATCAAACGTGCAAAGCTAAATATCTCGAAAAACTCGGTACGGAAAAAGTGATCTTTGATGTCTATTTTTGATTTTTCCTGTTGAAAATGAGATTTTTTGGAAAATCTGATGGCACCATGAGAAAGCTGAGGAAATTTTCTATCGAAATCTTATATTCATTTATTTTTTCAGTGGAACTTACGAGCTACTTTTGATCGTACCGAGCCGAAAACCTCGCGACCGCGCCGAATCAGCTCGGAAACAAAAAACAGCGAACAACGAGAAAGAAATTCCCATGTATAACATTGTAATTCGACTCAAAAAATAAATGAAGATATGATTTCGATAGAAAATTTCCTCGGCTTTTTCATGGGGTAGTCAGATTTTTCGATAAATTTCATTTTTACAAGGAAAAATTAACAATTATCCAAAAAGTTCACTTTTTCCGCACTGAATTTTTCGACATATTAAGCTCTCAATGTGTGAGGGCGATTTCCGCGGTAAAAATTGAATATTTCGGAAAATCGAATAGTACCATCGGAAAGCTGAGAAAATTTCCTATCGAATAGAGTAGTCAGTTAAATTTTTCCGATGAGTTTTGATACTTTTTCAACGACTTGGAAATCGAGTAACTAGCCGCATTTACAAGACATGATTTTTCGTCCTCTAAATCACAAAAGTAGCTCTGAAAATAAGCACTGTTGAAATTTCAATGGTTCCTACGTGGTTACATGTTCCTAGGCCCCCCAAAAACATTTCCCGGGGGTCCGTATCCGAGTAGCTTGAAAAAAAAATTTGCCGCGATTCTACCTCCAAAAATGCGTTTCATTTAGAGAATTGCTCATATATGCACAGAGGGAGAGATAAAAAAAATATTAACCGCGCTTACAGACCGTATCGCGAAGGAGCCTGACATAATACACCTCGTACGTACCGTACAGGTGGGAAATCGCGATTCGCTTTCACTTTCTTTTCCGTTCGATCGTGAGCTGCGAAGAAAACTCGAGGTCACGGAAGTGTAAAGGCGGCACACACACGAGCGGATCTTCTTCTTCTTTTACCGGTTTGACCTTGAGCGTGTTTTTATACGGAAGCTAGGCGCCTCTGCTTCCCCTCCCACCCTCCACCCCCGCCGCCAAACGTGCTTTGTATAAAATCTATAGATGTGTGTACGCGCGCACGTGTGCGCAATATTCCAGCGAATAATATATGCATGACACAATGCCAAGAGACACACATAAACACTTTTTCTCTCTCTCTCTCTCTCTGTAAGCACAGGAGCAGGTCGAGCGTTGAACCTTGGTTAAAGCATATAATAATAATACTTAACGATCGATCGATCGATCGTCGAAGAGAGATGAACAGGTCGAGACGCGAAGAGTCCGAGGAAAATTTATTACAGTAAACACCGCATGGCTGCAGAATAGTATAATGTACACCTGAAATATTATAGATCGAACGAGGGGGAGAAGGAGACAATGGAAACGAAAGATTCTCTGTATAACACAAACTACTACTACTACTACTACTGCTATATGTGGGCCAGACGGCCAAATTTCCGGTTCGATTGACAGAAAAAGATAGCGAGAAAAAGAGAGACACATGGACTTCTTTTTCCAATGATCGAGTTCTATTTACACACATTTTTTTTGTGTATACGTTCGAGTCCTATATAGATTATTATATTGTTATTCCTTGTCCCAACCCCCCAATATGTGAATTTCAAATTTCGTCATTGAGTTTTCAAGAGCTCGCGTCGTTATACTTTGTATGTTATATACATGCGCACAGACGGAATCGGGACACGTGCGTTCGGTACCGGCTATATACATACGTGTGAAATCATCGCGCACTTTTAGTCGCTCATTCGTGATTCCGATCATTACGTGCCGCGTACACATTTATATATGAGTTTAGAACGATTTAATTCCTCCCTCTCTCCGTAGCAAAAAAAAAAAAAAATAAAGACATCTGCAATCGCTTTCTCACGGTCCTACGCGAAAAGCATTGCAGTCTGTATATAATCGAATGTATCACGTGGTTTCGAGACCTCGAAGGAATTCGTCGAGGGCAGTCGCAAGACGATGATTCATTCGTTCATTCATCGCGCCTCGCGCGCATCTCGTTCCATTAAAAATGTCACGAGGGCGTTTTGGTCGTCGATTGAATCGCGACGAAAAAAAAAAAAAAAAAACAATCATCCTCGGAGCTTTTTAATGAATGTCAACGAACCCGTTTGTTGGCGTCGCATACATACGAGCGAGCCTGAGTGGCTAATCTCGAGCAAAAGTCAGGCTCTCCGTTACGATCTCGCGTCAATTTGATGTAGTTAGGTTGGAGTCAAGATTGAGAAAAAATTTTTGCTATACTTGTATTATCAAAGATAAAAAAAAGAGGGCGTTATATCCTTATCAGATATTAGAATTTTAAAATCAAAAAGCTCGTACAATCGATACAATTGCGACTCGATACAATAGTTCACGAATCATCGATCGTTAACGACTATTACGGTTACGCAATATTTTTTTTTTTCATCCCGCGCGTAAAATATCTCTCTCAATATTTGTCAACACTAGTTTCTTCTTCTTCTTCTTTTTTATTGCACACGCGAATAAATGATGAATGCATCGATGTAAATCGAATCTCGAAGAACCGATCATTGATGCACGTGAATATCTCAGAACTAGAAAAAAAAATCTCACAGGCGTATATACGCGTGATTGAGAAATTCCAGCGATACACTTTGTTGCCATCAATAATGCATGATAAAAACGGCACGAGCCGCATACAGTGTACAGTATACAACTACGATATATTTTATTTAATACGTAAAATCCTGGTTCGTCCGTACGACGAATTGACTGACGACTGCGAGACGATGATCGCTTTATTGTACATATATATTGTCCGTTGCGCAACTCGAAAAATACGCGTATAAATATTTTATTCTATATTATTATAAGCCGCAGCATCCGCGTGCGAAGACTCGAGTCACCAATAATAGGAAAAAAGGTTTGACGCGCGCGTCGACGACGACTTCTTCTTATTATTAATATTTGATCTCGCGCGCATTTACCGCTGCAACTCTACGCCGAGTCGTTGGCAGATTCATTACAAGTTCAATATCCGGCTCGCTTCGAGATCATTATTATTATTATTATCATCGATCGTCACCACTGCAGCTCGATGAAAAAATATTTTGATTCCTTGATTCGCGCGCGTCGTCGACGACGCCTTCTTACGTACTTACTTTTTTTTTTGGTTTGTTATTATTTAATTTTATAATAATCATTTAAAGATCATCGGACGCGATGTGTGTGTGTACATTTTATATAGAGCCGCGTCATAGGATAAATGCGTATACGGGTTGTTTTTACGCTGCGTGCACCAGTCGTACGATAACCGGCCGAGATTATTCACTTTTTTCCCTGCACATTACACGCGAGATATTTTCTATTTTTGTATTTATTCCCAACTTCTTCCGCTGCTGCTGCCTCGCACGAGATCGAGATGGTGATTTTTTTTTTTTGCTCGCGTCTCGCGTCGCGTCAGCTGGACTCGACGACGACTGTACGTATATTGTATACCGAGATTATTTCACATGTTATGAAGCGCTTCGCAATCGTCGTCGTCTTCGCGTCGCCTATATAATATACAAATTTCGCAATTGATATTTTTTTTTCTATCTATTTTATCGTCTCCTCGTGTACAATAGTCAGCTTGTAGGGACATTTTTAATTTCGGGGGCTGAAATAGATAACTTCTTGTCTATGTAAGTAAGACACGGCGCCAGCTCGAATTTTTCACCCCTCGCGAAAATTCCATGTCCGGGTTATACCACGTGGACAATGATGACAGTACCTATGCAAGCTCCTTTACGTATACATAACGATCAATCCGACGGATTACGTAAAATTAAACGGAGCTCGGAAATCGGATCGGCAAAAGGTCACGAAAGTTCACGATCACAAGCGTTTCTTACAACGTTAACGGAGGCTCGACGCGAAGTCGCGACAAACTACAAAAAAAAAAAACAAAAATCAAGTCAACACGCGCTACAAGCGGCACACACTTTGGGCCGAGGCGACGATTCTAATCGACGATCGCAATTTCTTGATTGCGTTAAACAATGCCTCTCGACTCTCCAAGAGGTGTCTGGGCTTTCCCGGTTACTCACGTCTCTTTGCTAATACATATTATTATATTAGGTGCTCGACATAAATGTCTTCCTGTTTTTTTATTTTTTATTTTTTTTTCTTTTACACTCGATCTCTTCTATATACTCCGGCGAGCGAGAGACACGCACTGTGGCAGAGATGACACCTGTCGCGCTTGCGCTCATTAAAATTTATCTTACGGTCGACAGGTAATGCCCACTTTATGATTACTGCCTTGCTAAGCGGCAAAAGCGATAAATCACTACGCAATAAAAATGCAGCATTTTTCCAGCTATTTCGAGCCATTCGACGCGCGCAGTGTATATTATATTATTGTATATTGTGTATTACAAATTTTATGCGCATGCCTACATTCAGACTGATTTAAACGGATTTTATTATCTCATGCAGTCTATGGATGAGTACACAAGAGCGGCGATACATGACAAAAATAAGACGATAAAAGGAATGCGTTATTTATAAGTCTAAACAAATCGTGGTTTTTTTTTGCAACAAAAATGCGCTGAAGCGTGTTACATCATTCAATTATGAACAACGCATGCGTGTGATGATTTTTCAAGAGACAGTAAAAACATGATGATATTATTTATAAAACGTAAAAAGATTTATTATACTAAACATAATCTCATTCAAATATTGAATATCAAATACATTAGTACAAGTACGCATAGGAAACAAACTTATTTACAAGTGTTCATGATAATGCGCATCGGACTGTTGAGGAAGATCTTCTTTCGGTACCAGTTTCACTAGCTCAACAGTGAACGTGAGGGTAGCATCGGGAGGTATGGTTGGTGGTACCCCATACTTCCCGTATGCTAGGTCAGGAGGTATTACCAGCTTTCTCACCTCTCCCACACACATTCTAGAATAATTAAGACAATTGCGTTATCAATGACAGTCGAGAAGCAGCATTACTGAGCAAATGCAATTATGTTTGTCTCAATTTATTATCTATTATCCAAATTGATTTGAAGCGTTAACTAGTTTGATTTTATGGCCATTCAAAAAGTCAAGGTTCTTTGTTTTAATAATAGAATTTTCTAGACATTTCTTTTTACAAATAAAATTACATCTTGTGTCGCATTGACAGGCCAGTTATTGTAATTGAGATTCAAAATTGGTCCATCATTCAACGATGTAAAAAATGAGGAAAGATGACTAAATGAAAACTGACATTCCGCTAACATCAATTGTTCTACAATCTTTACAATGTCAAATCTATCAAGCAAAATTTTTACCAAAAGGGAACTAATAACAAAGCACAAATGTTTTAAAAACAAACAAAAAATTGATTTTTTTTAATTTAAAACAATAAACCACATTAATTATAATATGATTTTAATAATGATTCAACTTTTAAATATTAAATTTCAGCTGTGAAATACAATCAAGCTATAAATAATAATTTTGTCAAATTGTAAATAAGGGTTGTACTTTGACAATACCAAAAACATTTAAAAAATCATCCAAAACGTAACTAATTGGTGACAAACAAAAACATCATAAGCTCAGTAAGCAACGTTCTATTGTTAATCAATTGAGTTAACAAAAACAATTGAAAACAACGAAAATCAACCGATACTAACCCAATCAAACCTTGCTCCCATCCCTTGATGACTTGGCCCGTGCCAATGGTTACAGCGAAGGCATCGTCGCGATCCTCGTTTTTATCGAACACCGAACCGTCCTCCAAGGCACCCTGTAAATTACACGAGAGAGAATATATTTTAAAAATCGACGAAGTGCAGAATTTCGTCGACGAAACGACGACGCGTGCACTACACGAGTAGTTTCGTGCGAAAGCAGGTCAACCCACCACGTAGGTAACGAAAAGGGTGTCACCCTTTTTCGATTTGTCGATACAATTATCGACGCGCCTCTTGATTCCAATTTGCAGGCGCTTTTGACTGCTGCTACTACCCTCGAGAGTACCGAAGCACAAAAAAGTCAGCGCGAGACAGATGAACGTCGATGAAGTTCTCATTGTTCGATAATGGACATTTTTCGTGTACGCGACACGACGACGACGATGCTTATTATTTTGACGCCTGTATCGAACTGCTGCTGCTGCTGCTGGAAGAAACTCATGCCCCGAATTCGTCTGCTACGACTTCGTATATTATATGCCTAAATGTAATAACAGAAGGCCGGCGGTCGTTTTGTGCTTGACACACATTGATACGCCGCGAGTGCGTACACAGTTCATAACCTGCTGCATAGTTCCCGTGCTCACCTGTAGGAGGAAGCGTGACAAGAGCGCGGGAAATAAGTTCGATGGTCTGCTAGTGTGTTGTTGTTGACGTTGTGCTTGCAACAAACTGGACGCCACTCGTTGGTGTATTTATTTTTTTTTGCAACGGAGCACACGGATCCCTCAAGTTTAATTGTCTATTCGAGATACATCATTTATAAATTATCGTTCGCTGCTGGAAATGGATAAACTCGACCAAGCGCTTACTAAACTAGAATACGCAATCGACCACTTTCCACTTGGAGCATCTTCTCCTGAAAATTACAAATCCTATGAAGAGCAGATTGCTGATGTGAGAAATTCTCTCAAATGGATCAATGCCAGGGAAATAACTCTCAGAGCTTTGATCGACTCGAGTAAGTATTTTTATAATATTCGAGCCCGTAATGATTATGTTTTAAATATTGTAACTCATGATCTCTGTAATAGATTCAACAGAAGATTTGCCAGAAGGAGATCTCAATCAAGCGCTGGATGAATTGAACGAACGCACATCCAATTTATTGATTAATAAAAATACTTTGCAACTTGGATACCACAGCAAAGCTATCCAGGATGTTGTTTATGGTGGGGCAGGAACAGAAGAAGTGCAATTGTGAGTTATTTCTATTTTATCGTGTTAAGCATTACTGTCTTACTGATTTAAATTATTTTATTGTAGAAGGATGAAAGCGTGCCTAAACAAATTATTTTTGAAAAATGATGAACTGGCGATGCAGTATGAAAAGAAGAAAGAGCTGATGAAAAAAGAGTATGAATTACAATTGGAATGTCATAAGGCTATTTATGATCATCAAGAATTTTTGAAAGAAAGAGAAAATAAAAGAAATCAAGAGCTTCAGGAGAATAATCCTGATTTAATGACGTAAGTGACATTCATGAATCAAACTATTTAAATAGAATCTTTCATTAATTTTTGCCTATTTTATTCCTTTTTAGCGTTAGAGACAAAATTTTACGCTCTATTTTCAAAATTCACACTCAGAAAAAGCTCATAACTAATCTAATAGGATCCATGTGCCACAAATTACAAAACCATCCAGAATTAGTAGATTTGTTGGCCAAGCATAAAGACGTAATCAACCTTGAAACTATTGTGGAAATGACCCACAGTAAGAGTTCAACTGATAGCTCATAACAAATTTTTTATAAAAATTGTAATTTTTATAAACAATTGGTTGTACAACCTAGTTAATATTAATGTACTAGTCATCTTTTATATAAAATTTATGTTTTTTAACAGTTGTGTTAAAATTCATTTACTTTAATTCCAACTTACAACTCATACCAATTAAGATAAAAGTAATGTTGGAAACGATGTTATCGCTTTTACCGATTGTACTGTGCGCCTTCTCCTATGATCGCGACCCCCACCTGTATATTCGCGAAATGTACACACATGCACTAGCAGTCACGATGACGGCGATGTATAAAAATCATTCGAATTCTCCGTTTGATCTTTGTGTTTCATGAATAAGTTTAGTTGATCATTTATTTTAAATTTACTTTAATTTAAAATTGTTCCTAAAGAAAGTAAAAATGTTACCTATAAACCATGATCCAGTGGAAGTTATACCTCCAGATGCTGAAATTCGACTTTTGACCCTCAACTGCTGGTAAGTGGTTTCTTTGTAAACACTTCAAGGTTTTCCTGCTGAATTTGTACTTATATATAAACCTTGTCATGCTGCTTGTTTAACAGATCTTTCTTTTAACTTTATTTGATGAAATATGAAATATTTAGCAGAGTTTAGTTTTTTTCATAAATGTCCATCTGGTTTACAGGGGTATACCTTTCATATCAAAAAACAGATTAGAACGTATGGATGCTATTGCCTTGAAAATAATTGAACAAAGTTACGATATTGTTTGCTTGCAAGAAATTTGGTCTAGGACTGACTATGAACGAATTATGACTAAAACTCAAGAGAAGCTGCCTTACTCACATTATTTTTATAGGTTTTTATAATCAATTTTTTTCATACTATTTTGCTTTTATATAAATTATCATAAATAATAATGATAATCTTTATGCATAGTGGAATTCATGGTTCTGGAATATGTATTTTCTCTAAATATCTAATAAAGGATATTATGTTCCACCAATGGTCTTTAAATGGATACGTACACAAGATTCATCATGGAGATTGGTTTGGTGGCAAAGGAATAGCTTTGTGCAAGCTAGATGTTAAAAATATTATTGTTAATGTTTACATAGCTCATGTAAATAAAACTCATTGCCTAAATTTAATGAACACTATTTTTCAAGCAAAATTGTTATTTCAGTTACATGCAGAATACAATGAAACTAGGGACGAGTACAAATCTCATAGAGTTCTGCAGGCCTTCGACACAGCTCAGTTCATTCGACTAACAATGGATTCTGCAGATGTAGCACTATTAGGAGGTGATCTCAATACTGAACCTAGTGGGCTAGAATATCGTCTAATTTGTGGCCTTACTGGATTAGTTGACTCCTGTAACGAGCTTGATTTAGGTACCAGTGAGACACCTAATAATACCTATACATGCAAGAAAGCATTGAAAAAATGCCCCAAGGGAAAAAGAATTGATCATATTTTATATAAAGGATCCAAAAACTATAAGGTATTAATTTACTCAATCAGCTTTTGAATATTTTTTATAAATATGCTTTAAAAATTTCCATTGTCACATTTCACAGGTGATAGTTAGTGACTACAACCATCCATTTCCTCCCAAGGTACCAGGAAAAAATTTCAGCTATTCTGATCATGATGCAGTTATGGTTCACTTAAATGTAATCAAAGGAAGTGAAGATTCAGTGGAAGAAGTTGATATGAGAGAATCATTACAACAAGCAATTGCTATTGGCCAGGACGCTTTAACTTTAGGAAAAAAACAACAACTGGGATACGCGGTGGTAGTGGGTATTGTACTGTTACCTCTTTTGTGGTCCATAACCGATGATACTTTGTTGTCAGATCTGAATGTTAATATTGCATTTAATTTATTCCGATGTTTCATGGTAATATTATTATTCTACGCTGTGTTCATGATTACCATGTGGTACAACCTTGAAAAAAATGCTTTAAAGGCTGGTATTTCAGCGATGGAAATTATTTTATACAATTTAAATAAAAAGTATGCTTAGGAAGAAATGTGATAAAAAGTAAATCAATGGAAAATATATTTTTCTATCGCTATAGAAAATGTTATTCAAAAGCAGAAATAGATCAGGAGTTAAATCTTGTGGTGATACATTTTTATTAATGTAGATCTGAACTATTAGAAAACAAATGAATTTAAAACTGTTATGCCAAATTAAATTAAGTATTATGTGGCTAGCATTTATGTTATTGTTTACGATATTGTTGATCACTAATTAAAATTTAATTTTAACGTGTTTTATAGTGTAAGGCTTAATCCTAAAATATGTGATATTGTTGAAAATTTCTTTGACACAGTAAATAGCATATAATTGTCTTTGTTGATGCACGTTTTAATGGAAATCTTGGTCCAAAAAATTCTAGAAAAATATATATTGTGTTAGTAACTAAATTTAAATGAAACTGGATTTCTTAGGCCTAATTTTTTTGAAATAAGTATTATTAAACACTCTTAATAAAATAATTAATATAATGAAAAGATTGTATTTTAAAATTTAAGCACCAATGTATTTTATGTAAACATATCAGATTCTATTTTTGAAAAATTAATAAATTTTATAAAAAACGAAACAAAATCTCTGCTATGATTATTAAAAAAGACTCTCGCGTCACTTATTAAAATAGTATGGCTAGTAGGAAGATTATTTACAAAAATTAACTCGCAACAAACCAGATTTTTAGAGTTTATTTAAAAAACAGTTACAACATGCTAACTTGAAGATGTACATACTTTTCATAAAATTTGTTTTTATACACTATACGAATCGAATTTCACGCACTTTTTATCTGTAATAAAACTGCGAATGAAATTCTTCTCGAATTCTTTAAATTATAACTTACGAGTTACTTCCATAAATTGAAAGAAATCATCATTTTTCTTCGGCATTTTTTCAGTCTCGCGCAAGACATGCCACATGCTTGAAAAGTTTCAAAATTCAAACTAAAACTTTATTTTTACATAGTTCTGGAGAGTATAGAAACTTTTATACATTACAGTAATTAAACATACAGTACACGATCCATTACGTTTAACATTTATTCGCGAATATTTGATAAAAAAAAATTAATGACCTAAATACATTCGGTAACTTTCATAAGTGCTAATACAATAAAAAATATAATGAATCCAATACAAAAATGAGTTGATGTATTTTTCAATGAGTATTTAATTTTTTTTTTCTGACGAAAAATTAAATTTATCAAAATAATCAATAGTAGCAATTAGACAAATTTCTTAACTATTCTCATATCATGGCAATCGATTCGATGCGATAAGGCAGTATACAATTTTTGAACTAAATACTATACTGTGTCTATAAACTAAATTAAAAACTATACCGCACTCACTATCAATCGTTGGAATGGGAGTAATGAGAAAACAACAAGCTACTACATCACCAAGTAAAAAAAAAAAAAAATCGGGTATTAAAAAATCGCTCGGTTTCCCATTTTTTTTTTCCGAAATAATCCATCGTACAAAAACGCGAAATCGGCTCGTTTCGATTACCGATACAAAATTGACGCAAAAATACATATTTATCGGGGGTACGACAGCGAGGAAAAAAAAAAATTTCATTACACGTCGCGGGGGGGAGGCTCTCGAAGTTAACAAGCTTGTTGCAAGCGCGATATGTGGTACAGGCCCCTCACACGATGTGCCTCTGAATATTATACACAGCGCCCCGCAGATTCGCATCGATAATATCAAGCTCGCGCGAAGAATGTGTCTTTGCTGACGTTAAATTTTTAACGACGCGATCCGCGCGCGTACTGCAACACACACACACACACCCGATATGTATGTGCCGATGGATAAATCTCGAGCCTCTATATTACGATGGCGTGTTATAATATAACAACGCAATATTATTACATTTTGTCAGCTAATCGTTTTCTCTTCGTATTTGTAGATAATTTATTTGGTAATACCCTGGTGGAAATGCTCAACGCGAATATATATGTTTAAATCTAAAAATTCACATTTAAAATATACAAAAATGCGTAGAATAAATATTTTTGAAACTTACATTACTTAATTACACGTTAAATCTTCGCCGCCAGATGGCGAGTGCCTTTATACGTGTAAATCAGCAAGTGGCTAAGTCAAAATAATCGTATAAGTCAAAGCACGAGATGGTGTGGGACAAGTACAGCTTATGATGTTAAATGAAACGTTATTGAGCATTTCTACTAGGATACATTACACACTTACGTACAATTTATAATATAATGACGTAACAGCCAATTTTCACATATGTTATATATCATTTAATATACTATATATCGATTCATAATAGAAAAATTGGTCTATCGAAGGAATATACTTTGGCAGATTCGAGAGCTGCATCTCGTATACATTCGCTTGATAATAAATATACAATAATAATTCTGTAATCGCGCGTCGCAGCGCGCACACTGGTCCAAGGGGGTATAGAAGGGGAGTCAGATGGCATGTCATGTACATAAATAATCATCGAGTCGTAATCTTAAATTCACTCGAACAATAGAGTCCACGCAAATACGGCAACGATATAATTATATCACACTGCCGATCCCGTCTCCAAATAATCGGCCGTCGTCGTCGGCGGCAGCTGAGGCGCCAGCTTGATGGTGATATTGTAAATGGGATCGAGCGCGCTATCGGCGCCGTTCATCGGCATCGGCTCGAACTCCTCGCGTATCCTCGTGGTCGCGTTGTTGTTGTTGCTGCTCCTCGCGGGCTGAAATTTTCCATTGCTGTGGCCGTTGCAGCCACCGCCGCTATTGTTCGTCGAGTCGAGATCCGTCGTCGTCGGTCCCAGGTGCAGGCCGTTCGCTTGGCTGCTCGGCAGCGGCGGACACGCAGTTGTGGATCTGAACATAGAATGATTAATGGCCCCCGGTCAGCCGTGAGAGAAAGCTCGACAAGACTCGAGAGAGAGAGAGAGCTTTACGCTACTGCTACTTTCTATAATATAGGCCACGCGCGTATATAGCGCAGGTATTATATGCTACTACTACTGCTATATATGTGTGCGGCTAGCCGTCGAACATGCGAGGCAATTTACTCGATAGGATAGATTGCGAGTAGACGACGACGACACGCTCCCATTGAAACGAAAAAAAAAAGAAGAAGAGGAGGAGAAAATGAAAGAACGTTTTTCGTGTGCATCACTATGTACGTTACCTCCGTCGCAAATCATCGACGAGCTTGCGAACGCTCAGCTCGGCCCATTTGTGCGCCAGACTGCTGCTACCGCCACCACTGTTGACGCGATTGTCACCGCTATTATTGGTATTATTGGTTGAGCCGGCGTAGCTCTCTCTGCGTCGGCCGCCGCTGGAGCGCCGATTGCCGTTCAACGACGACGACGACGTCGCTGTCTTGTCTTTGTCGCGTATCGTCACTTCGACCTCGCACTCGGTCGTCGTCGTCGTGGATATTTTCTTTTTCGTCTCGTTTTCAGAGGTGGTGGCGGGAATAATGTTCTTTTCCTTGATCAGCGTTTGGCAGAGCGAAAGCAGCAGCTCCTGGTCCGTCTGGATGGATAGAGTGCGACGCTTGACGCTGCTGCTGGTGCTGCGATTGTAGGCTGAAGGAAATAAAAATGTATTTTTATTTATTTATTTTTTTCGATTTCTGTGAGTTATAATACACTTACCGGAAGACGACTCGGTCTCGTCCGACTCCGAAATCTTATAAATGCCGTACTTGGGCTGTGGCTCGGCTATCGCAGCCGCCACCCTGGCCCCAATGTGACACCTGATGGACTTGCTCGTCGTAAAGAACGCCCGATTGTTGCGATCGGGCCTCAGCACGATGATGTACAGCTTCGGCCAGAACAGAAAGACCAGAGTGACGCTGGCGCTGAGGGTGACGCACATGCACATGGTCAGCACCTTGGTCTCGCTGCCGAAGTAGATGGGCACGAAGGCGACCCAGATCACGCAGGTCGTGTACATGGCGAAACCGATGAACTTGGCCTCGTTGAAGTTCTCGGGGACGTTGCGCGTCTTGATGGCGTAGAGGGTGCACAGAATGATGAGGACGCCGTCGAAGGCCAGCGGATAGAGGACAGCGCGGGCCGTAGTGGTGCAGGTGAGGACGGCGCGCTGACGAGTGGGATACTCGACGGTGGGTCCGGCGGATTCGAGCATGAGCATGGCGGTGGCGACGGCGATCTCGATGGCGATGAGCGTGCAGGTGATCAGTATCTGCGTGCGGGAGGATAGAGAGAGAGATAGAGTTGTAATTGAGTTTTCGGAGGAGTTACTTGCGGTAGACGACTGTATACAACTTTTGATGATTTTCTCAGCGTGGTTTTATATGTTCTCATGTTAATTAACTTTTTTTATTTAAATTACAATTTTTGGTACTTGGTGTGCCTTTTAACCCACTTTTAAGAATTATTTTAAATGTTTTGCATTTAAAATTCAAGACGTAAATTAAATTCATACGCACATTTTAATCGTTGATTAAAATTGACTCATGATAGCGAATCTTATTTCGCTTCGTACTTATTACCAAGAACGATATTAATTTTTAAAAGCCCGCTTGAAGGTTCGAACAATTCAATACGTGACCCTCTTTTAGTGCTTTACTTATACGGGTATTTTGACTTTTTAACTTGCGGATTTACAGGTACTCGCCATCTAGTGACGGAGACTGGCTTTAATTATTAACTTCTTAATCCAAATTCTTATTGACCTATCAAAATCTGATTGTTTTATCAAAATCAAGATTCGACTTATACAAATACTTCGAATTTGTCACGTGCAGATTTTCAAATAAAAGGACTCGCCATCTGGCGGACGAGACTCAAAGTTGTATCGTCGTAATTAAAGTGGTCGAAAACTGGGTCTCGATTGAATTGTCATTTGCGGGTCACTAAGACTGAATTATTAACTAAGCCATTATTAATGTTGAGAATTTTTACCAGGAATAGTAAAAGATTGAAAATATAAATACGACTTTGTGCTCGTGAGTAATTTGTGGGACACGCATAGAAAAAAAAAATCAAATATTTCCACTGAAAAATTGCCGTGAAAATCCCCCCGTCCGAGCTCGAAATACGAGGCCCCCCTCGTTTTATATATATGGTAAAAATGTGTATATGCCGCCATATATACATATCTATAGGTGTGCCGCAATAAAGCTCGTATACACGCGCGATACAACGCGTGAAAATATATACACAACATCGGCATATAAAAGATGTATATCAAGAGCAGAGGCTCAGTTAATGGACAGCCGCGGAAACATCGATCATACGCGACTCTATATACGCGTTATTATTTATTATATACATCTAACGCAGAGCTGACAGCTGCTGGTGCTGCGTTATGGACACGCCGCAACAATAATAAAGCATATTTTAGTGTATATTATATATGTGTGTGTACCTGGGCAGTGGCCGACATGAAGAGTGGCTTGCGCTTGGGGAAGCGCTTCTTCGAGCCGGCGAGTATCCGGGCGATCCGGTTGGTCTTGGTGAACAGACTGGCGTATATCATGGCGAAACTGATGCCCGGCATCAGACGGCTTAGTATGCAGCTGATGTACGTCGGTTCGGCCAGTACCGCCAGTATCTGCAGCGCAAGTACATTTATTTATTATATATTAAAATGAGAAAAGCAACGAGACGTAACGTGCGTATATAAGAACAATGAAGAGGTGTCCTTACCGAGACGTGGGAAATGCTCATGCCGGCGAGAATGAGATAGCTGAGCTCGCGCGTGCTCGCCTTGACGACGGGCGTGTCGTTGTGCCGGATGAAGATGAAGCAGGTGACGAGGGTGGCCAGCAGACCGAGGCTCGCCGCCGTCATGGATATGATGGCCTCCACGTCGCGCCACTGCGTAAACTCCAAAGGCATCTCGTAGCACTCTGCGTGCACAATTGCAGGAAAAGCGTCGTATATTTGACGAATATAATTTCACGAGTCGTAAATTATTATTATTATTATGTTCGTTGCTGTACCTGTTTTATTGTCATTGGGCAGTTGTCCCTGGGGGCAGGGTATGCAGCCGCTCTGCTCCTCGTTGGCGATCTCGTAGCGATCGCAGGGCACGCAGGCCCAGCAGCAGCGCTTCTCCTGGCCGCCGGTTTTGAAATTCTGTTACCCGAAGAAAAACATTTTATTACCCGGTCTTCGACTTTTTTTCTCGATGTATTTATTATTATTATATCATACCTTGTAATGTCCGGGCGGACACGGCTTGGAGCAGACGCTCTCAACGAGATTGGGCGTGCGCGACTGGGGCCAGCCGCTGAGCGTCAGGGTGCCGTTGTTCCACTCGCCGATCTGCACGTAGGCGTAGCTGCCGTTCGGCATGCGCTGGTAGTTCAGAATCTCGTACCTGCGGAGAGCACATAAAGCAGAGGCGCGCGCGCGTGGGCGCAATTTGTGGAAACGTGTGCGAGGAACAACAGTCGACGATGTATAATATATATTTAAGATTGGTAATGGTGTATATAGCGGATGAGTTGATTGTTAAAGCGCACGATTTCGTAGTTCTGGGGAGCACGATCTGATTTCAGCCCTGCTGAAAAAAATCACGTGAAAAATCATGTGATGTTTTTGCATGAGTATAATCATATGTTTTTTTATATGATTTATCGTATGATTTTTCCCAGCAAGGGAGGCTAACCCTTATTTTAATAAGAAATCTATTGAAGAGAAAGTGCGAAAATATAATTTAAAGTCTGAATTTATTAATGTCATTGAAAATGAAGAAACTACTTTTGAAAATAGCTTTAAAAATGTACATTTAGAGCACAACAATTTGAATCAATTAAAAGAGTTTAAAGTGAATTATAAAAGTAGTAGGCATGAAAATTCAGATATAACTATGCTATCTTATCATTAAGAAAATATCGATGCTAATCTTTTACAAAACGATACAAATTCAGGTAGTTGGATGATTCAACAGTTCTGCAGTTATATTATTCACTTCAAACTTTTTTAAATGATTCAAATTGTTGTGCTCTAAATGTACATTTTTTAGTAGTAGTAGTTTCTTCATTTTCAATGACATTAATAAATTCAGACTTTAAATTATATTTTCGCACTTTCTCTTCAATAGATTTCATATTAAAATAAGGGTTTGGTTCCATTGCTGGGAAAAATCATATGATAAATCGTATAAAAAATCATATGGTTAATCATGCCAAAACATCATATGATTTTTTCCATGATTTTTTCTACAAGTAGGGCTTAACAAATTTGGAAGATGTATCGTAAAATACTTTTCCCTTTCTTTATTTTTGAAACTTTTTAAATCCTCTTGTGATTTTGCGAGAATTCGGGCTCGCCCCATCTAGCGGCAGCTTTGGTACCATTCGATGCTTCACTGCGACGGTAAAAGGATCTGATAGTCTCAGCTAAGACCCACGACAATATTATACATATCGAGTGTTTTTTTCCGAGCGTCTAATTTAGTTTTATCGAAAATTCAAAAATCTATCGATAGCATAATCAAAAAAAAAAAAAAACATTATGAATTTGAAGCGAAATACAGGTACCGAGACCCGACTCGAATTACACAAATTTGAATCGCGCGATTTCCACTGTATCGCACTCTCGTAAAACGATAACCGTGCAGCTAGATCAAAATGAACGTAAAAAAAAAAAAAAAAAACGATATCTGTGTGTCTATCGGTGAAAAATCAATCGACCGCTCTCGCAAAGAACCCGAAACTTATATTGATTATCAGCTGTCAAAGCTCGTGCGGTGCGGTGACTCGTGCTCTCGACGGCTCCTGTACGCGTTGTCTCTATATGTAGCTTTATCGGATCGTTCGCGCACAGCTGATATACCTACTCTCGATTCGTATTACATTTTATATCGGGCGCGGACACGTTCATTTATTCGCAGTCTCGAAACGCGTGGGAGGGGAGGGGGAGTACATAGCTTCCAGATCGATCGTAAAAAAAAAAAAAAAATAGTAATAATTTCATTCCAAGCTGCGAAAGGGGCGCGCAGGAAAGAGGATTTTTTCAATTATATCGCGCACGAGCAGTCCTTCCGCGAACTCCGCCGAAGTTAATTTTTTCTCAATACTATGACAGAGTCAACTTTGCTCTCGCTCGCTCGCTTTACGATGATTAAAACATCTCGACGTTTATATACGTACATGCGTTTTATAAATTTTACAGCGCGCACGGGGGTGCACTATGTGCGACATCAAAAATGCACACCATATACACGCAGCTATAACATAAGCCATATACGCCGTATAGCGCATGTAGGAGAAATTCTCAACGCGGAGCTTAATTCAATTTCTAAGTAAACCGTCTCTCTCTCTTTCTGTGCGGCAGCTTTGAAATTTTTAAAAATCATCGCGAATTCTCCCACGCGAGCGATTTCTTTTTTTTTTTTTTATATATATATATATTATGTGTGCGTACGCGGCAGTTGATATTTTTACCGCGAGTTTATAGCGCGTCGTGGTGAAAAAAAAATTCTATAATAAAAAGTTGAATCTCCATTATATGCAGTGCCCCGGTGCAGGCCAAAATAAATATCTATTACAACTGCCCCGCAAATTCGCACGCAGCTCTATGATAAACAATGGGATTCGCGCGAGCCCGGAAATGGTATAGGCAAACAAACAAAAGCCTCGACACGATGACGGCGACGACGGCGATTTTGTTTAATTTAAATTTCTGACCCTTTCTCGTTCTTTTGCATTTGTGTGTGTGTATTAATTGAAATGTATAGTGAAAGAGTGAGAGAGAGGGAGACAATAGCTCGCGGCCGCGAGAAGATTACGATGACAAAGTTGTGCAGCGGCTCTCGTCGAGAAAACTTTCATCTCGAGGCTCGGCTCGAACTTTTCGCGCGCGAATTTATATATACCCGTTTTTCCAACTTATACGTATTGTATAAACGCGTGCACACAGCTGACCGAACGAACATTGAAATTCAATATTTAACGAGATCTTTTCGAGCTCTTATTTCAAAATCTTCTTTTCTCCCCCCCTTTTGCATAATCCTCGAGTATATACTTTATTTGTCTTTTTCGATGCGATTACGCAACAAACGGCAATTTCCGCGTCGCTCGGTGTAAGAGGATCTCCGAGACACACGCGCGCAAAAAGGCGGGCAATGCAAAACTGGAAATAAGACATACGCACCGACCTGCCCGGTGGATCCCCGCGCCTGTCGAACTCCACGACGTCCTCGCCGAAGTTGAAGCTCACGTTCATCAGATGATTCTATATCAACGCAATGCAAACATACGATTAAAGTTAGATATAAAAAAAAATAAAAAAAGATCGAGTCGACTCAATGGACGTACCCTAAACCGAGTGCCGTTGAACGGTATCATTTCCTTGCAGACGCCGGTGTAGTTGTGGCCGCATACGTCCTCGAGCATGTTGTGCAGGCCGTGGGCCATCACCCAGAACGACTTCATCACGAAGCTCATCTTCGGGTCTTGCCTGTAGCGCTCCTGCGTCAGCCTCTCCTCGCCTACATGCGCAGCCAGACATTTACATAAGAGAGAAAAAAAGAGAAAAATAAATAAGTAAGTCGTAGTTGAAAGGGTAGCAGCAAAAAGGTACGATTGCCTTTCTTGAATAATAATAATAATATTCATACGTTTACGCTTATGCAAAGGCACGCGAAGAAGAAGACGAAAAAAAAGCCCAAACACCGGGAGGGATAAAAGATACACAAGAGGGAAAAAGCCTGAAAAAAGCTAAACATTCTCAAACATGCTTGGCGCTGCTGCACCGCTCGTTGCCTGCGGAAGCTGCACAGTCGACGCGCGCGAGAGGGTATTTCCCTCCCTCCCCCCGCGTCGTGTCGCGCGCACACGAGAAACGCGCCTGGAATATACGTATATATATAGTACAGCCGCAGCAATACACGCCGTATAGAAGTTATATACGAGGCGCAAAGAGCCGTGAATAAGAGTCGCCGTAAGCCCCCGGGCTAGTCCCGAACACAGCGGCGGCAGCAACAGCACTTTTCAACGTGTAGATGTGTATCATGGGTAGATACGTCACGGATGTGTACCAGCTGTTACGTACGTATGCATGTATATGTATGTGTGCTACTATATATGTTCGTCGATCTCCGTTGCTGCGCCACCGATGATCCACCGTGTTAAATGGAACGTATACGATATTTGTAGGAGACGCTCGTGCGGACTTTCATCGGTGTCTGACGCGATCGTGCGCTCGTACTACTGAAAAAACGCGAATTCTATATTGAGTAGCTTGATATATTTATTCTGCGTCTTGGCCATTGTGGGTAGACTCGTTATGTGTAAATGTTTGTCGCTCGAGTTGAACTTCATTTTTTTATATCTTTCCCGAAATATCTTACGGGAAAAATAAAAATATATGCGTTACGATCGACGACATAGGTACGGAGAAAGTTTTACACCAATGTTCATTTAAACTTTATATTCCTACACCTAGAGTTCCACAAGGGGTCTCTTCCTTTTTGAATCGATTCAAATAGGTCATTCGCGTTCGTTTGAAAAAACGTGCCTTTATATACGGAGTATAGAGCACGCGAGCCCTCAGTCGCCGCAATTTATCGAATATTTGCGTAAAAAATTTCATTTCGTCCACCGAGCAGAAAACATATGGTATATAGGTGAGATACCTTATTCGTGAACACTTCGCTGAGTGAAATAATGAATGATAAAAATTACTTTCGCCCGTTTCAATAGAAATGATAAGTGTCAATAATTGTCTGAATGAGAAAGGTACAACCATTTAAAATTCATTATCATTGAGTTGTTGTTTTTTTTTTTATACAATTATGTTGAAAGGGCATTATAACTGACCGCGAAATGACAATTCAAAAAAATTAGTTTTCAATATCACCTTCAATGCAATAATTCTAGTTTGAGCCTGCACCACTAGATGGCGAGTATAACTTTATCTGAAATTCTGCAAGTACAGTAGAGTGAAAATATTTATATAAGTCATATTTATATAAGTCATATTTAGATTTACACGAATGAACGTAGTTGATTTTTTTTCTGTCTCTCTCTTCTTTTCCCTCGCAATCGGTATCCGTAGCCCTGTACATCCGAAATGTACACAGCGCGAGCTGGCCAAACACAGAGTAGGCAATCCGCGATCGTGTACAAACGTCGAGCGTCGCTGCTCACTTTTGCACACACACACACGCACGCACATAGACAGGCACGATGCATCCGATCGGTACCTAAATCAGCTCGCAGCCAAATGATTGACACGCTGGCTGCTTACACGTTTGCACGCGGACCTAATTACGTACATACATACGGTACCTCAAACGCGAATTATTCGCGCGATTGATACGCGTGGATATGTGCGCCTGTGTAATTGTCTCTCTGTTACGCGCGAATCACGCAGCGATGTGTATGCTAAATTACGCGGAACTCAACGGTGCACGATTTGTCGAGAAAAAAAAATTGGACGTTTACATTTCGGGTATCGTTACATTACATAATAATAATAATAATGTCGATAGAAATCCGCAGTCGAGACTCGTATATTGTACGCGTATGTTTACACATAGAGGAAAGTAGAGCTCGTGCGTAAAGAACAAACGCAGAGCATGAAAGAAAAAAAAAACGATACGCGCGCCGCATCCATTCGCATTATAGATATCCGAAAATCAAAAGCTCTATAAGAGATAGGATCGCAATAACAACAACAGCAGCAGCACAGCGCGCATATCATTTCACGTACGATGCATACGATACGAATTCGAAAGCGTTGTAGTTCATGTGTAGATATATAGGTGTGTCGAATAATGGCCCTCTTATAAGCAGTGCCCGACTAGAGCAATCAGTGAGAGACGCGATGTGTGTGTGTGTGGTGCATATGCATGATGCTGACGATGAACAGCCCGATATATACGAGAGCTGGAGCTTCGTCTCCGATTGCGAGCGATCCGGGCTGTTGTCTCGCAGTGTCGACGCTCGCGGCAACAGCTGACAACAACCCCCTTCCGGCTTAATTAACTCGGAGATATAAGCATACGGGTCCTCTTGGTCGATTGCGATCGATTTGCCTCACGAGTAACAGGACAATTTATAATAATTCTAAACTAAACGTAAGTATGAAAATCAATGATTCTTCCAAAACCATGCTCTGACTTATACAATTATTTTGACTTTGTCACTTGCAGATTTACAAATAAAGGTACGCCGCCATCTACTGGTGGAAGTTCAAAGTGGTGTTATGATGAATGAAGGAAGGAACGATGATTGTCATCGGAAACGATTTTTATTACGGGCACACACGTTGAAGCTCGACAGGAAGACTTTAAGGGGACCGACCTGTGTTAAAAGCTTAAATTCAGCTTCAGCTAAAAATAGCTATATGAATTGAAATAGTGGAAATTTTTTTTTTGTGATAGTAAAATAAGTTCATTCTACACCAGATTGACCAAAAACAACTTCTACCCAAGCTCTGAAATACCAATTACATCACTTTTTTCATAAGACGAAATATTGTGTTATAAATCACTTGCCGCATGATCTTGAAAAGAGTTTTTCATCAATATTGATCTATGGGGTCTCAAAATCTTCAGAAAAGTACTCTCGTCCACCTGAGCGGAGCAGAATTTTGAAAAATTGCGTACAACTTTATATACACGTCAAAATGTGCCAATTTTTGAGAAAATTAGTATTTTATCAACACTAGAAGCCATATTAACCCATTAGCGCCCAGCCGGACACTTTTTTCAACTGAACTTTAGGCAAAAATCTTTACTATTCAGAATTTTGCTAAAAAATAACGAGTTCATGTATCTAACCGGAAATTTAATGCCCTTTTCGAATATGGCTTCAAAATTAATCTTAAAATTATTGTTCAAAAGTTATAAACAATTGAACAAAAAAAAACACGAATTGAAAAAAAAAAAATTGTCTTCAACTCGAATTTTAAAACAGAAACAGGCTTGATACTTAGGTCCCGAGCACATTAAAGGTGTCCATGGGATGTAAACTGAAAATCCCAATATCCGTAATATCGGAATTGGACATTTTTCATAAAAAAATGGCGCTTCGTAGAAAAAAGACCTTATATGAGCTAAACCAATTTTTTTACATGACAAGGATGCATTTAGGAAAAAAAGTTATATTGTAAAAGTTCTTAGAATTGTTCAAAGAACAACCCTGAATTTTTTCAGAATTTTTGGTGAAAATTTTTGAATTTTTCGAATAATTTTGGATTTTTTGAATTTCATCATTTTCCGAAAATTCAAAAATTTTCACCAAAAATTCTGAAAAAATTCAGGGTTGTTCTTTGAACAATTCTAAGAACTTTTACAATATAACTTTTTTTCCTAAATGCATCCTTGTCATGTAAAAAAATTGGTTTAGCTCATATAAGGTCTTTTTTCTACGAAGCGCCATTTTTTTATGAAAAATGTCCAATTCCGATATTACGGATATTGGGATTTTCAGTTTACATCCCATGGACACCTTTAATGTGCTCGGGACCTAAGTATCAAGCCTGTTTCTGTTTTAAAATTCGAGTTGAAGACAATTTTTTTTTTCAATTCGTGTTTTTTTTTGTTCAATTGTTTATAGCTTTTGAAGAATAATTTTAAGATTAATTTTGAAGCCATATTCGAAAAGGGCATTAAATTTCCCGTTAGATACATGAACTCGTTAATTTTTAGCAAAATTCTGAATAGTAAAGATTTTTGCCTAAAGTTCAGTTGAAAAAAGTGTCCAGCTGGGCGCTAATGGGTTAAAGCTCCTGGAAGAAAAACAAACTTTTTTTTTCAAATTCTGCTCCGCTTAAGTGGATGAGGGTACTTTTCTGAAGATTTTGAGACCGCATAGATCAATATTGATGAAAAGCTCACGTCAGAATCGCGTGGCAAGTGAATCCTATTATAATATTTAGTATTATGAAAAAATAAGCGTAATTGGCATTTCAGAGCTTGGATAGAAGTTTTTTTTGGTCAATCAGGTGTCTAATAAACATATTTTACGATCACAAAAAAAAAATTTCCACTATTTCGATTTATATAGCTATTTTTTGAATTTAAGCTTTTAACACAGGTCGGTCCCCTTAAAGAAAAACTTTTAGAAGAAATATGTGACACGTGGTTTCAATTCCGATTTTCGAGAGTTTTACATTTTTCCTGAAAAATTTAAAAAATGAATTTTCAACATTTAAATATCTCAAGAAGCGTATTTTTAAGATTTTTGAAAATAGTCCCAATCGAAAACTGAGTAAATATCTCATCGAAATACGAAAGAGTTCAACGCAATAAAGAGTCAAAATGCGCAAGACCAACGACGAAATAAAACTATACATTTTCTCGCGAATCGATCGAGCTAAGAAAATTATCGCGCAGCTCGTTCGTCGCGTAAATAATAACTCCGCTTTAACGGAGCTTTTCTTCTCGCGCTCAAGCGTTGGGATTTCCATTGTAACGCGAGCGAATCTCGTCCGCCTACGCGCAGGGATGCGTGATAAAGTACACATAATAGAACGTACGTC